AAGGACAGGGAAGCACGGGAATGAATTGCCTGAGGACAGCAGAGGCTCTGTTGTTTGAGGTCTTTAAGAAAGGGATAGACAAGCATCTGTCAGGAAGGCTTTAGACTGAGCTGATCCTGCCCTAAGGCAGGAGATGGTCGGGTTGACCTCCCGAGGCCCCCTCCAGCACTGTTTTTTATTATCTCCACCGACAACACCCCCTGCCTTGACCTTTGGTATGCTGCTTCTTGAGCCTTCTTTGCAGCAGAGAGAGACGGGGCACAGAAAACTCATTTTTTAAAGCAGAGCCAGGATTTGCACCTCTCATGTGATGTTCTTTTTTAAAGCCCTCAGAGTTTCTCCTTAAAACCTCAATAACTCACGATGTTAGGGTACGTGCAGCTTTTTATTGCCTTAAACTGGTCCAGTTTGTCTTTCTTTCTAAAGTTAGCTGTCAAGTGGCCAACAGACATCACAAGCACCGCACAGGTAGAGATTTTTTAGTGACTTGAGAGCCCTGAAACCCCAGGCTGACCCACCAGCTAGGTGAAATCCCAAATGGGTACAGGCTGTCTGTTTTGTGCACTCCAAACATGCTCATAGAGCTCTTCCTAACAAGACCTAGACCTCGACATCTAAAGGCTAATGGGATGCAAATCATAGCTGCTTCATGAATCACCAAGTCAAAAATGTTTTGGGTTGGAAGGGACCTTAAAGATCATCCAGTTCCACTCCTGCCATGGGCAGGGACACCTTCCACCATCCCAGGTTGCTCCAAGCCCTGTCCAATCTGGCCTTGGACACTTCCAGGGATCCAGGGGCAGCCACAGCTGCTCTGGGCACCCTGTGCCAGGGCCTTCCTACCCTTTGAGTAAAGAATATCTTCCAAATATTTCACTTAAATCTTTCCCTTTTAGTTGAAAACTGTTCCCATTACCCTAAAAGTATCTGTACTTGTAAGGAAAAAAAGTAGATCACGGCCTTAGGAGTAGCCCCAGCTGTGTCAGGCACTGTTTGCACCCAGGTTAACACAATAAAATGTAAATGTTATAATTCTGAATCCCACATATCAGATCACTTTAAGCTTCTTTTGATCCTGAACCTGGCAAGCCTATTTTGAATGGTCTTCATTGAATGACTTGTAAGTTAAGAACACTTGTGATGTCTCCATTGACTTTAAGTTTTTCTTAGAGGGGCTGAAAAGCCTCCACTTTGTTTTAGAACTACAGCCTGACTCTTCGTGGCTTCAACAAAAGCCAAATAGCCTGTCCCAATTTCCTGGGTTAATTGTCCTGCCTCATCAGGCCTCGTGTTCTGCAGCAGGAAATCCAAGACGTGGCTGCACTGGAACACTTTTTATCCACGTGTTTCCAGCTCTCTGTGTCTCATTTGAACAGGGAACCTACTTTTTCCCAAAAGCCAGAATTTCTCAGCTGGATTGTTTCAGCAGGCAGAGTCCACCTCTGCTTCCAACAATGTTATAAAAGGACTTTAATAAAATCACAAAATAGTTCGGGTTGGAAGGGACATTTAGAGGTCGTCTAGTCCACCCCCCCTGCAATGAGCAGGGAAATCTTCAACTAAATTTAAGCGATGCACAATAATTTTTTTTGTTCCTGTTGTCAGCAAATCCATTATCTTGAATAATTATAGAAATGGGCACTAAAACAACCAACCTCTCAAAATGTCATGGAAGATGTCCATTTCTTATATAGTTTTCCATTAAGTCGACAGGAAATTGCAAAAATTGGTAAATTTTAAGGTTTCTTAATTAGTCATTGTCATGCATCCCAGTTCTGAAGGCAACTCTTGACTCATCACAAAGAAGTAACTGCAAACATGAGAAAATCCCACGCTAAAACACGAGCCAAACAAACAAACAAAACCAGTGAAGATTCCTGACAGTCTTGCTGCCGAAATCTTTTGGAATCAAATTTCCAGTTGACCACCCTGTGGAGGTGGACCACTGGTAAGGCCAGAAGCTGTAACTATTCCCTTGCCAATGCACATTCCCAGGTGGAAAACAAATATTTGAAAGGATTAGAGGGAACTCCTTTCATCCCTGCCTCATTCTCATGCCAAGGTCATTCCCTGCTCTGAGTTTTGTGAGTCCTAAAGGCTCCACACCCAGAAAACAGAGGTTTCAAAGGGATGGCTTGGAGTAACCCAGCTCAGCTCCATTTCCAGACCTCTAAATTCAGGCATGTTTTAATGCAGCGTGCCTCAGGTTGGGTACAATCTACCACTGACTAATTACCCTCTTAGAGTTTCCTCCTTGTCAAAGAAGTTCGCTTGATTTCAGGTTCTTCTGATTTCCTTAACCAATTCTTAAACTCCCTGACTTTTTATCTCCTGATTCACTCTTTGAAGAAGACTAGTGGTCTTGAAGGATGCCATCTCCAGCTGATGCTGACTACAGAAATAGCTCCAACCAGCACTGGAAGCCTTTGGATTTGGAAAAACTGCCTCAAAGCACAATCACGGAACGGAGAGCAGGAATTCATTAGCTAGGGGTAGAACTCAAATTATATTTTATTCATCCCTGATAGGTTTTTTTCTTTCATCTCCCACAGCATCCAGGTGCCATTGCCTTGAGTCAGTGGAACTGACACACAAAAATAAAAGCAGGGAGGAAGCTCTAACCATATTCCAAAACCTGCAGTCTCCCCTTGGGCTTCAGTTCAAGTTGTCAGACATCAGTGCAGATAACAACCCAGCACATGCTGGGGACAGGAATCCAGGGCTGTTTACAAGCAGCAGGAGGTGTTATGTACCTCGTTTGCAAACCCAGTTGTTTGGGAAAACTTCCAAGGAAATGCAGCACCTATTGCTGAAGATCACTGGGCACCAGGATTTAGCTCCAGAAGGTTGTAAAGTGAAATCAATAGTGGAAAAAAAAAACCCGAAAAACCAAAAAACCCAACAAGGAAACTGCAGCCTTTTGTTTATCCAGAGGGAAAGAGAAAAAGGAGTTTGTTGTGTAAGGAAATATCCCATTCTCCACTTAAATACCTCAGTTTGCCACTCAAATGTAGCATCTCCCAGGATAAAATCAACCCCTTTGAGATGAAAAACATTATTTGTCCACAGAAACCGCCCAACCACACAGAGTGTTGCTAAAGCATCACTAGAGAATGACACCTTTGGGTCACTGTTGGTGCAAACTTGATTTCTAAATGGAACCTCCAACACTTGCTTCCCATTATCCAGGTCAATCCAGCAATCAGCCTCAATCCATACTAAGAAACTTGGACACGGTACCAAAAGTAGGTCATAATTAAGCAAGGTAGCTCATAAGAGCCTTGCAGGTTGCCTAGAAACGACATTTGCTGAAGTGTTTAACCACATCTAAAAATAATTGTCCAGACAAACCACAGACCAATGGGAGAATTGATGGAAAAAAAGCTGCCTCGTGCCGAGTAGGGGATGGAGCTCTTTGATCAGCCACACTCCTGTCACAAAATGAGAGAAAATCATCCCCAGCAAAGGCAATACGGGGATTTATAGCACAGTGTGAGGTGTCTGCAGCAGCAGATGCCTTGTACAACCTGCAGGACATGGTGTCAGTTTTAGGCTGTGCCTGGGAAGTCATCCAGAGGAAATCATTGCTGAAAGCTGGATGCGGTGCACAGGAATGATCTGTAGGATAAACCCGCCTTTGTATTTACAGAGCAGCAAAAATTCCCCATCTGTGCAGTTCCCAAACCTGTCAATAACGCCAGGCAAGTGCAGAATATTGGAAAGCAAAGCCCAGCTCCTGCTGGATGAAGAACAAGATGTGCTGTTTGCTCGTCCTGGGGGAAACCCTATGGAAAATGAAGCCCCAGCATGCTGCAGGAATAGATGTTTTGGTTGTATTCCCTGTGGAGCAGCTTTGCCAGGCACTGATCCTTGGTACAGCAGATGGAAGTACAGCCACAGGTCTTGGGAGTGTGGACAAAATGCTTGGAAAGACCTGTGACCTGACATAAAATACCTGCAGAGCCTCAGTCAGCAGCCTGTCAACTGTCTGGCATCTCACTCAAAGCACAGAAGAGCCTCCAAGGGAAGTTGCTGGGGGATAATTATAAATCCCTTGGGATCCAGGCAGTGTGGGGACTGTCACAATGGTGCTGAGAGCAGCAAACCACTTCAGGCCTGTGTGGAAGGACTGAGAAGCCCGTGTGCTTCCCAGGGCTCACACACATCACCTCCCCTTCCTTCCTCCCTCTGCCACTTCTCAAGAGTTTCTCCTCAAAGGAAACAATGACGGCAAACACCTTCAGCTCCCACCATTAACTAAACTTCCATCTCTGCTGCAAGGCAGAGAAATAAAAGGCTAACATGGAGATTTCCAGTTACCAAAAGCCAAAGACAAAAAAGCCTCAGGGGCAGTTTCCAAAAGTAATAGTGATGCTCCCTCCTACCTCCACCTACAAAGCAGGGTCTGGTTTTGTCTCCTCTGGTTGTGTGCATTTTATGGCATTCTGTTGCAACCCTGGCTGCTGAGAATTCCAGACTTTCTGTGCTGCCAGGCACTGACCCCCAGGAGAACTCTGCATTGACCTGAGGCTGTGGAGAAGCTTCCAAAATGGAATGACAGAACTGGGATTGTGGGTGTGCAGTTTGAATAGAAATGTGTGATACCACAGGGTGGGAAACTCAGAGTTTAAGGGTTTAGAATATAATAATATATATAAAGCTAATGTGGAGGTTTTAGGGTGGTGGCTGATCCTTCTTCTTCACCTTCTTCTCTATGGGTTTGGGTGGTTTTGTGTAATTGGATAAAAGAGTCCACATTGCAGGCATGGGTGGTTGGTTATTGGGTTAAAAGTGAAAATAATTTAGGTGTCATTTCTTAATTGGACAGTTTATCCTTAAAAGGCCTTGTAGAGATAGATGTGGGGCCATTTTGTAGCATTTTGTTACAGAATTAATAAACATCTGAGTCCGAACACAAAATGCCATCTCTGCGCATTTAATCCTGACCCAGGCAGAAAAAGAAGATAAAGAATCGACATCATTCCATAGCTGAAACTCACCTTTCCACCCAGTTCTTGTAGCTGGGGATGTCCTTGGCATAGAGGAGCTTGTTGGAGGGGGAGTCTTTGCCCAGGCGGTGCTCTGAGGTGGAGCAGGAGTCCATGAAGGTCTGGGCCACCACGGACAGGCAGGCGTCTGTGATGCTGTTTTTGTGAATGTCGAAGACAAACTGTGGGTTCTTGATCATGTTGACCCAGAAGCGCAAGGGGAGGCTGCAGGAGGGGTGGCAGAGGGGACAAAGTCAGGGCACAGCTCACAGGAGACATCACAGCAGCAGATGGCGGGTGGGGATCAAAGATCGTGCTGTGGATATGAAGATTCTGGGATAAACTTTGCTATGTAATTAATTCCTCCCCTACAAAGTCTAGGGACGGTAGAGACATCACCTTTTGTCCCTGTAATCCTTACAAGGCAGATTTTTTCAGTCTTAATACAATCTTGCTGAAGGTGCCCATAAATTAATGGGAGTAAAATTTAGGTGATGACAAACACTCTGAATCTCTCTGTGTGTTAAGTTGCAATGGAAAGTTGATGCTGTTGGTTGCTCCATCAGATGAAGACAGGCATTGAACCCACAAAAATTATTATGGTATGGGCTATAAAGCACTGGAACAGGCTGCCCAGAGAAATTGTAGCTGCCCCTAGATCCCTGGAAGTGTCCAAGAACAGCCTGGACGGGGCTTGGAGCAACTTGGGATAGCGGGAGGTGTCCCTACCCTGGCAAGGGGGGACTGGATGAGTTTAAGTTCCCTTCCAACCCAAATTATTCTGAGATTCTCACACTTTTGTCATTGAGGGACTTTAGCCCTCACAGCAATCTCCATGGGAAGAGAGGTAGGTAGAGTTCCCAGGTGGAGAGTGGGAATCTCATGTCACACCCTGTAGGACACCATGTCCTGTCACTCTCCAGTGCTCCAGCCCAAGCCTGCACATAATCCCAGTACCCTGAGCAGGAACCAGTTGCTACATGACAGGGAAAGCCCCCTTGCCTCAAGGAAAAAAAAAAAGGAACTGGGAAACAAGTATCACAGCCTTTGATATGAAAATATATCTGCCCTAACCAAGGAAATGGTATTCCAGTTGCAATCCAAAGCTTTTTTCCCCCCTTTTTCTCCAAAGAGCAGCTCATTTGTATGAGATGCCCTGAGGTACATGTATGAGATACCTCCAGCTGTTGCCTGGAGCCTTTTGTCAGGGCAGATGTACTGCAGTGATCATGGCCCAGGAGCTGGGATGTGTCACTGAGCACAGAGCCCAGCCCCTGTCTCTCTCTCAGGCAGATTGCTAAGTCTGCCTTCACTCTCTGCATCTTTCAGCTCAGCAAATTCTCCTGATACTCAGAATAAACCTAGAATAAACCTCCAGTTCCTCCCACTTGCTGATTGCGTTTACAACACTGTAAAAAACTCATCTCCAAGCCTGACAGATTTTGGGGAACAACCTTCCTGACAGAGGGTTGACACCGTGTTTTCCTAAACCTCTGTGTGTTCTCCTGAGCAGCAAAATCACAGAACAAATGTAAGGAATGCCCCACACAGGGAATCTGGTCAGCCAAGTTCAGGAGAAGAGGGAAAGATGCTGGAAAACACAGAATTATAGAGTGCTTTGGGTGGGAAGAGACCTTAAGGATTATCCAGGTGTAGGGACACCTTCCACTATCCCAGGTCGCTCCAAGCCCTATCCAACCTGGATTTGAACAATCCAGGGATGGGGCAGCCACAGCTTTTCTAAAAAGCCTGTCCCAGGGTATCAGGGAAGAATAAGTAAAAAATGGCAATGAGAACCATGGAGTTGTGAGAGTTTAGGCTGGGAATGGAGAGTCATCACTGGGGGGATGAAATGGATGGGTGAACCTTGCAGAAGTCCTCGTGCAGGTGTTTGGATGACACACAAAGCCACAATGAGGAGTAGAGTGTGTGTTTATGTGCCTGGCTGTGGGGAGGGAGAGGGGACCATGTCCCTGGCTGGGAATAATGGAGCCCTGTGATGTGACTTTGAGTTAATTTGATCTGATTGAACAGATTTCTTCACACTGCCCCTTTTCCCACAAACACACACACTCTGCCTTCCTCCCTCCCCCCTTAAGTAAACCTCCTGCTCATTTAGGCTGAGTGGCTGCAATCAGCCTTAGATTAGTGCCGCAGATAATGTTAATAATATGCTAATGTTTCATTAGTTGAAAGCCTCTTTGGTGCATGGGGTTTCTTTTTTTTATGTCACCGGCGCTGTGACGATCTGCCAACTGCATGGCTGGGAAAAGGAAAAAATGCATGAGCTGGGAGCCCCACGGCTCTCCTCTGCTGCTCCTTTTACAGTCCCTGTGTTTGCACAGGAGAAGGGGAGGGAGCCATTCCCCAGGGAGCTCTTTCCAGCCAGGAGACTCAGCAGAAAGGAGATTTTTCTCCACCGATCCTGGCTTTTCCCACTGTCCCATTGCAGGGATGAGGAGCTGGAGCTCCTCAGCTGGAGTGGCTGGAGTGGCTGATGTCACACTTTGCCACTGATGTCACACTTTGCCACTGATGTCACCCTTTGTTACTCACTCCAAGAAGACTCACATCCAGCTCCAGACCCTTTAAATACTTTGTACCATTGGAGATGCTCTCCTGGCCTCCAGCTGCCACCCAGGAGGGTACAAGTCTCCTCTGGGCGCTCCACATCCTCTCAGGATGTCTTGGATACCTTAAAATTCTCACCTGGCATGAGATACCTCTTTATGGGCAAGCAAATAGAGCTGGGAATTAAAACACCCAGTGCAGATGAAGCCAGTGGTGTTGAATCCTCTCCTGTGCCTCCCTAGATATTCCTATGTGAGCCTGGGCATATTCTGGCATATTCTGCATTTTCCTATGCAGAGCCTGGGCACTGCAGCAATTAAAAACTTCACTTTCCCTCATCAAATCAATCACAAATCCTGACATTTCCATGTAATACAAGGCAAACTGGGACCTGTTTAGCCAAAGTGTTATTCCTTTAGATTTTGGGATCTTCTGACTTCTCCATTGGCTTGGGGAGACTGAGCCTCATCCTTTGAGCCCCACACCAGGCTCCTCATCTCCCTCAGCAGCCAGATGCCAAACACACTTCCCTCTGCTCTCCTTCCAGCCCAGTATCCGTGCTGGGCTGTGCTGGGATGTGCTGGGCTGTCTCACCCACTCACCAGTTGCTCTTCCAGGTGTGCCGCACGTGGGGGTCGTGGATGTTGTGCTTGTCTGCCTGCTCATCCAGGAAATCAAACATGTACTTGATGGCCAGGGGGAGGGCACTGCCACGGTGGGCAGTGCTGAAGATGGTCTCAAAGAGGTCGTCCACGAATTTCTGGAGGGTGCCCTGGTGGGAGAAGGAAGGAAAGAAGGAAGAATATGAGGTACAAGTGGGCAGAGGACGCTGAATTTTGGTACCCCACTGAAAACAGGGCATGTCTGTGGATAAACCAAGGTGTGATTGAAAAGTGGGGTCCATCTAATATCAGTTAAATGTAATATCAGACACAACCTGGGAATTTCAATACAAACGTCTTTAAGCAGGAATGTTTATCATCACAAGAACCATTACACCTCATTTCCACACAGATTCCTCTCTCTCCATCCCATGCTCAGTGCTTTAGTGCATCCATGAGACAAAACCCAGCCATTTTCCAGGCTGGCTTTCACCCAGGGCCATCTTTTAAACTGGGAAGAGAAGTCTGTAGGGCACAGCAGAAGGTGTCATGGAAAAAAAAAGGACAAGAGAACCTAGAGAGGTGGGTGGTTAATGTGTGACCAGTGTCCTAAATAACACAAACTGCATTCCCAAGAGCCCTCCTCATCTTTTACTCCACACTGGAAGGAGAATCCCAGATTGAGGGCTTGGAGAGTCACCCTTGTGAGGACAGTTGACTTTTAGCAGGAAGGAGAGGAGCTGGAATATCTGAGGGTGACCAGGCTTGGAGAAGGGGACAACTGAGGAGTTCTAGGCTGGGTTTGGGGTGGAACCAGGCAGGGCACGTTTTCTCTATCACCAGAGCTTCACAGGCATTTATGTGTGTTCAAACAGCTGGTAAAATAACAAAAAATCAATTGAATCTCCAACAAACATTCCCTGAGATGAAAAATTTCCTCTCCTGCAAGATAAAACTCTGCTCTTTCTCCAAGGACCTAGGGAAGAAATGTCTCCTTCTAGAAACAAAGCCTCAGGTTCCACCAGAGTGGCTCAAGTTTACCTAGAGCCAACAAACACTTAATTAGAAAGCTGGTGTCTCCGGCTGATTCACCACTTGATTTATTCTTCGGGAAACAAACAGAGGCACCTTTTGTTTGTGTGAACTCCTGCAGGGTGAACAAAGCCCTGCAGCACATCTGACTCAGAAAGGGCTCCAGAGGGGAAATCCTCTTGGTCTGACATGGAAGAGCTGCCCTCAGGTTCAGTTCCTGCAGGGAGTTAGTTCTCTACATGCTCACCCTCACAAATGCCACAAAAACCTCTGAGGCTTTTAGGGAAGAGGCTCTTGGGTATCAGAGGTCAGGGATTTACCAGAATAAAAATCATTGTCAGTTTAACAAAGTATTCCTGGGGATTGTATTACAGCAACTGCTCGCTCTCTCTCTTTCCCTCCCTCAAATGGTCACAATGAGAAAAGAAAATTGCTCGGCCCAAGAGGGGAAACAATAAAACCCCAACCTTCCTACTCTTTCTGTTGCTGTGCAGGTTTTGCAGCTGCTTTCCTGACATCTCCACAAAAAAAAACCAAAACAACCCAAACAAGCAAAAAACAAAAAAAACCCCATCTCCACAACAACAAAACAACAACAACAAAACACTCAACAAACCAACAAAAAACCCCAAGCCAAGTGTTGAGTTTGTGACCCAGAACAGAAAGCAAAAGCAGTTCAATGGTGGGGCTGCATCCCCAGAAAACATAAATCAGCACCAGTCCAATGCTTGCTGGTCTACACCAGCTGGGGCCTGAGCCCTGGGGAGCAACACTTTCCTTTTCCAACATTTTTCACATGCTGTGTGATCCATAAAAGCCTCCTGATGCCAGGGAACGGGGCATGGACCAGGGGCTAAAGACAAAGCTGCCTTTCCTCCAAATCCCTTTGCAGCTCAAACAGCCTGAGTGAGGCTGCAGGGAGAGCCAGACATCAGAGGCAAAATGAGCTCAGGAATAAATGAGCAGGTAAATCTGGAGAGTAGGACTTAAACTACTGATGGAAATGTGTCTGATGGGCAAGCTCAGGCAGCATTTGCATGAACAATGAATCGTGTTTGTGCCTATTAATACCCTGGCAAAAAATGAAAAAGTTACAGATGTATTTGGAGACTCAGGTCAGGATGTCCCTGCTCTGCCCCCACTTGATTTAATCTGTATTTTCTCTCTGTGCATGCTGAGTTTTCATGTCTCACTGTAAGGTCAATGTAACCCTCTCCAAGTCATCAGCACAAAAGTCTTTACTGGCCCAGGGTAAATGTGGAGGATGATTTGTACCACAAAACTCAGGATTTTGTGGTATAGGAGCCATTTCAGACTGTGAGGCCTGACACATCTTTGGAACCTGCTCTGAGCATCTGCTCTGGGTCTTCACTTGCTCAATTTTGCTACAGATTACAAACCGGTATAATCAACAATTCCAGCACCTCCTGCTGTGCTTTACCCACCAATCTCATGGCCCTGGATCATTACTCCGCATTGCTTTTCCAGTGTCTCTTTTTTACTCTGCTTTCAAAGCTTAAGCTCCTTACCCACACGCTCAGGACTCTCCCCTTGCTCTATTTTCCTTCTGTTTTCTCTTTATACCCAATTTTGGCATCCTTTGAGTGGCCTCTCACTTCTTGCTGGCAGGAAATTCCACCACACTCTCAAACCCCCCTGTCCCCCACCCTCACCACATACCTTGGTGGCCAGCAACCTGGTCAGGTAGATCTCAGAAACCATCTTGCTGCCTCGGTCACCCTCTTTTTGGTCTCCATGCTCGTGGTTCTTGACCAGGTGCCACATCTTGACGCCGCTCTCCAGGTCGGGGGTGATCATGGGCGCGCGCGAGCGGAGGCTGTCGGGGCTGCCCGTGTAGCGGATCATGTTTTCTGTAGAGACACAAAAATGGGAGTCCCCACGTGTCTCAGCAGCTCCTGGGCTCGGGGTTTTCAGGATTTCTGCTGGTGACGTGCCACCAAATGTGTTTTTCAAAGCGTTGTCCGCGTGGTTGGCTCAGCAAAGCCGAGCGATGCCGCCGAGCCAGGTGTGACGTCAATGTCTACATTACTAAATTAAATGAGGTTCAAACACTGATTTCCAGCTGTCCATAATCTTTACCTCTTATCATGGTCCCTGGCAAGTGACACTGTCACTGTCAGACACTTTGGTTCAAGAGGTAGCACCAGCTCCTTTTGGTAAACAGTTCCTTATGTGACAAAAATATGGTTTTCCCATATTTTATCCATGCCATGCCATGCTGCTTAACATAACAATATTGACGTCTCTAATGTGATCCCCTATTTAGCTCCTCATCCCCAGATTTAGAAGGAGCTAAATAGGGGATCACATTAGAGACATCAGTATTTTGATTCAATGCCTCCTTCCCTTGGCATCAAAGCAAACAAACAATTCCTGCCCAGACATCCTCCCTTCTCCAAAATCTTGTTTTAACAGAAATCAGCCAGAATCCCAGGTGGGCATCCACAAATTTTCTCTCCAAGAACACTTTTAGCCTCCAAATTTTACCTCTCTTTGCCCCTGAGTGATGACACAAGGCATTCCCCTCTCCCTGACCTTCCAGCAATGTTGCCTTTTCCAACCATAATTATCAGAAGTGTTGCACCTTTCTGTAGCAAGATCTGAATCAGCCTCATTAATGCATTACCAATCTCTACATATTAATTATCAGATGGAATATCCTTTTTCTCTCTGGATGCTGTTTTCTTAATTGCAATTAACAATCACTTTTTGACCCACCACATCTTCTCCTCCCCCTGCTTCCTTCCCTGTTCCCTCCTCCTGAAAAATCAAATGGCAAAAGAATTAAAGAAATCCAACAGAAATTAACCCTCCTCAAGTCTTCCATTCCAAAGGTCACTGTGTCTTTCAGTAATTGCAACAACATGGCAAAGAGGATGAATATTAATAAGGATCATGGATCATTCATGTCCTTGGAGAAAGTGGAAGGGGGCACCTCTGGACATTGAGTAACTGCACTTTCCTTTAAGATAAAGGGAGTAAGGAGGATTGGAGATGCTTACATAAATTAAAAAATATGAATAAAGTGATATGACAGCAGCATTCAGGTTGGAGGGGGGTTTGCAGCACCCTGGTTGTGCATCAGGGATGTTTTGCTTTGCTGTCCAGCATCACCTCAGCGAGACACGGGCTGGATGTAATTCTAGAGCAGGGGAGGAAGGTGTGGAGGGGGTGGGTGACACTCAGGAGGTCCCTGTTTGGCCCTGCAGAGGAGTTGCCACCTGGTGTCCCTTCCACAGCTGTGTCACTCTCAGCTGTCTCATGGGGACAGTGGGAACAACAGTCCACTGCCTTGAGATCTGCTGATAAAGACCTCAAACTCTAAGAGTGACATTTGGTGATCTAAGAGGGAGGCAGTTAATTATACAGACTCCTCCCTTCATTAATGAGGGAGGAGAACCTCCCAAGAGCAACCCAGCCACTGGGATCAACACTTTGAACAAGATGCCAGAGTTTTTACACGGCTAAATCCTCCTCTCCTGCCTCATTTCACCTGCTAATCATCTGCCCATCATTCTCCCTGCTGGTGCTCAGAGTCTGGTGACCACTGTGACGTTTGGGATCTCTTCCCAGTGCTCTCCCAGTCCATCCCAGCACACAAATCCTTACCATACTTGCTGGCTGACGTCCGGGACACCGTGGAGTTGTTGACTGCGTTGTAGGCAGTGACTTGCTTGGAGACCAAAGCCACCACAGATCCATCTGGGACCTGCATTGAAAAAAAGGACTGGGTCAATAAACTTCTGAAAACTGGCTGAGGACCATGCCCAGAGCAGCATGAGCTGCAAATCAGTGTCTCTGTAGGTAGGGCCCAGTTTGCCCTCAAAGCTTTGATTTCTTTCTTCATTGAGGTGGTCTAGTAATAAAAAATCTGACATGGGGACAAAATCTGCTGTTACACAGCCAGAATCCTGCACTTGGACAAAGGGACAACTGGTGACAAACAGATTCTGCTCCATCCAGGCCCTGATTCAAAGCCCAGTGACGACAATGTGAGTCACTGAGTCACTTAGGTTGCAAAAGGCCTTGAAGATCATGGAGTTCAACCATTAACTCAGCCCCACTCTGATCACCACTAAGCCATGTCCCCAAGGGCCACATCCAGAGGCCTTTTAAACACTTCCAGGGGTGGTTTTTGCATTAACCTCAGTAAATCTGACAATAGAGTCATCCCAGGGAAGCTCCTAGGCAGAGCAGGAGCAGGAGAATAATAAAATCATCTGAGCTACTTCAAATAGGATTGGCTGACCCATTAGGATGTAAAACCAATGTGAAATGTTCCATTCCTTCCTCCTGGATTGCAAGTGGTATCGGGGTGCCTGGGTCAAAAATTCCTGTCTACAATTTTCCACTATGATCCTGTCAACTTCTCACCCTTCCCTGTGACAAAAGCACTGCTGGGCTGAAGGGACAGCCACAACTTCTTTCTCTTTGTGGTGTCAGAGGGTGGAAAAGCAGCAGGTTTGGAGTGGCTGATGTCCAGGATGTCGTGGGACAACGTTTTCAGGGACCACAGGACTTTTTTAAAGGAGCCAGACTTTCTGTTTCTACAACAAGGCAAATCATGTGGGTCCCATATCAGAAATGTTAACAAGCCCATGGCTCAAAAGAGCCCTATCAGGAACATCTGTGATAAATAAGACATCATAAAGAGGAGATGGGTAAAAAAAATCCCTTGTAATGACATCTAACTCTTGTCTGTGTAATAATAATAATTAGCACTTGCATGGAGTTTTTCATCTTCAAAGCACTGCAGAGGCTAATTAAATAGCCCCTAAGCTATCACGAAAGGCAGTTATTGGCTCTTTGTAGTTTTAGCCCCACACCACAGACGGGGAAACTGAGGCAAAGGCAATCTCAGTGTCTGTCCCAGCATGATCTGTGTCAGCCTCCAGGACAGCCAGGAAAATGATGTTTCCTGAGGACCTGGCCCAGCTCATCATACAGCTGGGAGCTCATTGCCTGAAGCAAAGAAAACATGGAAAAAGCACAGAAAGGAAGAAAATTATGCCTGGTTTGTTGATGAAATAAAGCAGGAAATGTCCTTGCTCTGTCTGAGGGAAAAAAAAAATAATCAAATTCAGCCAACAATGCTTCAGTCAATCTGAAGTAAAAGTTTTGTTTCCTTTTCAAATTATTGCTTGCTGCCTCCTCAGCTCAGCTCTTAAGTGACAAGAGAAAATAATCTTGTTATGAAACAGAGGTTGCTGAGGTGTGATGGAGGAAATGACAAAATCGTCAGCATCGGATTAAATTTAATGAGGTCTTTTCTGTTGGTGTTCTTTTTAAAGGGAGAAGACTTTGACCAAAACCTCACTTTTTTCATTAAATCCACCACTTGTGTAAGACATTTTCAGACATCTCTAACACTCTCTTATGGATTTCCAGGTCATGCAGGGAGGAAGGGAAGCAGAGCAGGTCACCTGGGCCAGGTGAAGGATCAAAAAGAAAAGCTCCTTATAATAACAATTCCACTGCTCCATGGTCTCCAGCCATGCTGTTTTCCACCTCCCTTTTCCAGTCACCAAGCCTCCCTCTTTCCAGTCTTCCCTCTTCCATCCTTCTGAACTCTGCTTGCATTAACAGGCCTTGGATACTTTGGGAAAAGGGGCATGGAAGTCCTTGGATTTGTTTGTCTACATGAGAAATGTTAGCTCGTGTTGTCCTCATCTCCTCTTCACCCCCTCCACTCACCAGGGGTGTCCTTTGAGAGGGAAAGAAGATTTTTTTCTACCCTTGGCTTCCTCTCTAGTGCTGTTCAGGATAATTGGGACAAGGACAGGAGGGATGTGCTCAGCATGGGGGTTCTGCCCAGTTACTGCCCTCTCAACCACTTTTTACCTCTGCATCCTAGCATAACAAAAATCACAGAATTATTAAGGTTGGAAAAGACCTTTATGGTCATCAAGCCCAACTGTTCACCCAGCAATGTCAAAGTTCCCAAGTGCCACATCCACAAGTTTTTGAACGTTCCCAGGAGTGCTGATTCCACCGCTTCCCTGGGCAAGACAATAATATTTTGCTTTTTGTTTTGCCAGAAAGAAGACCTAGCTCCTACCCAGCCTCTCCCACAGATACCTGGTAGTGTGCCAGCGTGTTGAGTCTCTTCCAGTCGTTTTCTATCTTGGTGGTGATGTCCTCATCCTGAAGGATCATCCTCGCCCCACTCGCCTGCCGCCACTCTGCAAGGAGAAATAAATAAATAAACAAACAAATAAATAAATGAGACAGGTGTCGCCTTCTTCTCAACCTGGAAATGAAACTTGAGACAATTTTAGTAATATTTAGTAATATAAGAGGAGGTATTTATTTGAAGGCCTTCAGAGGCAGTTGTGGAAAGATGTCCACAAAAGTCCACCCCTCCCAGGGGTGAGTATGATTTTATAGGTTTTAGGAAATTTGCGTAATTGATAAAAAACACCAGTTAGGAGGACAAGTGGTGATGCAATTCCCCCCAGGCCAAACCCCTTCTCTGGAGCCACCCTTGGCAATGGCTGTGCTTTGTCCATGAGAATGTAACTCAAAAAGTTGTTCTCAGCCTTGGTTCACAGGAAGAACCAAGATAGCACTGGGGCCCTGCACTTCCTGGGGAGAAGACTTTGCCCAAAACTTCACTTTTTTCATTACATTTCACTTTTTTTCATTTTTTTTCGTTTCATTACCACTTGTGTAAGACATTTTCAGACACAGGCTACAGAGCTACCAAAATATGTGTGAATTCGCAGAATTCTCGGGACTGTGTGCTGTGGCTGTGTCAGTGCTGCTGGAGAAAGAGCCCAGCCCAGCTGAGCACAGGCACCTTTCAGGAGCTGTGCAGAGCAATAAGTGAATAATACACGGAACATAGGAAAAAAAAAAAGGAAAAACCAAATGGCATCACAGGGACAGAGCCCTGGCACTCCCTGTGCCCAGAATCCATGTGGACACACCTGTGTGGGCACTCATCACCTCTACACCCTGATTATTCACAGTCCTTAACTATTAATTTACTCACAGCTCTGCTCAGACTCCAACACGGCTGTTCCCAAAACCAGCCTGCCCTTGCCTGTGTTTGTCATCCCCATGGGGCAGGAGCAAATGCCACTTGTTCCAGGGACAGAAATCCTGGTGCTCTCTCCTTTGGCAGCACAGACAGAGCCCTCAGCAGTGCCTGAGGTCCGTGTCCCTGCCAGGACCCAGCCCAGACAGGGCTGCCCTGGGCACAGAACCTGTGCTGGGCTCAGCCCATGCCCATTGGTGCTCCCAAAATGCTTCTTGCATCTCAAATCCACTGATGGGCAGCAGGAAGCCTTTGGGTACAGGCATAGTGATGTTCACACATTTTTGCCTTTTATATATTTTTCATATGTTTGTAGCTCTGTAGACTACTATTCCATAGTTACATAGCTCCTAGGATTTTCCCTGCCCTTCCTCTTAGATTTTAAAATAATAAGCTGTGCTTCTAATACATTCCTGAAATACTGTTTAGTCTTACTTTCAAGAAGAGGACCTACAGGAAGAATATTTTGTTTTCCAGTCAGAATCTGAGAAGACACAACAAGAAATGGGGCAAAGAAGCCCTGGATCAACTCCAATGGGGCAGAATCCAGGGGGAAAATTACCTAATCAACTGCTCTTCTAATTGGCCAATGTTTGTTAGATATGATAATTTGTTAAACTTATAAAACTTGTAGAAAGGCAATACTGGGTGTACCCATGATCACTGGGATTCCTGGAAGCTTCCAGATAAAGATCTGCTTTTTATTTTGGTATTTTAACATCATTGCAAGAGTTTTTATCTTCTGATATTAGGCAACGGTGGCAGAGGCATAACTGGGGGGAAAAGTCAGTTCCATCTTCTGCTCCATGGAGGATGTAAATTTTACAAGTCAGAAGGGCTCCTGCTTCTGCCACTTCTCCAGCCTCTAGCCTGGAATGATGAATTCCTGCAGCACTGGAGCAACCCCTCACTTCCCAGGGTGCCTTTTTTTTTTTTTTTTCCTCACATCTTGAAGAATACTCCATAAAATGACAGAACTATTAAAGTTAGAAAAGACTTATGAGATCTTGGAGTCTTGAGGAGGATTGCTACAGCTTTCCCCACAGAGGGCTCATGGACTTGCCTAAAGCAAGGAAAACACAAACATGACCAAAAGGAGAGGAATTCTTCATCAACCTGGACCATTCAAAGCTCTCCTCTTGGTTGTCACATTTCAGTCACAGTGACCCAACCAAATACAGCTTAGCCAGAACCACAGAAAAAAAAGTCCATTCATTTGCAGGAGTTAATTAAAATGAACTCTTGGATATGGAGACATCACCTGCCACCCTTGCTTGTTTTTCCCAATATAAAAATGCAAGCACCGTTGCAAATTTCCTTTGGTTTCAGCACTTTCCTTATCACATAATTAAAATGCAATGGGAAAGCTGCACTTGCCTTTATTATTCATTTAAATTAGCAGGAAGAGGTCAGCAACTGTGTTTATTGCTGGGTGTTGCTTTGGCTGGAGACACTCAGGGGGAGCAGAGGTTGTGTTGGCTGAGCACTGATCTACTCCAGCTCCTCAGATCCTCACCTGCTGTGGTGGTTTTGCCTGGGAGGCATTTATGGAAGGGATGCAAAGCTTCTAGCTACTAGAAAATTGTACACACTCTCGTGAAAAACAAATGTGAAAGATGAAAGGAACTTGGGAACTTTCAGGAGCTTGCTGGCAGGTGGTTCAGATACCACCTATAAGTAAGCACAAGACCAAAGAATAAGCCTAACCATAAACAGTATTTCTCAGATTATCCATAACTGTGAGACTACCACCAAACAAACCAAACAAATAAAACCCCTGTAGTATAGCAGACAATATTCCAAATATAAGTATAGAAAAGCCTAACAAATTAACTACATCACACTACCCCAAACACACCAAGGTAAACACTGTGGACTCACAATAATAAAAACCACCACTAAATAATTAGAGACCTGCTCTACACCTCATGCTATGGCCTGTAACACCATCCTAGGTCTCAAAAAACAAGTCATTTAAAAACATAATACCCCGAAAAAAATTGAATCAAACAACAAAACTCATTTCAAAATCAACCTTATCTTAAACGAAAGAACATACCGAGTGTACCATATCTCCTACCATACACCAAATATAAAGTGAAGAAATGCAATAGACCATTAAAAAACACTGCACCTGCATCATCCCTGTGGAGAATGAGGAGGATGCTCTCTGCTCATTCCCACCTGGGCCATCTAACTGCTCCCAGACTCTGCTTAGAAGAGCAAAAAGTGCTGAAGTTTGGGCTGGGATGGGAAATGAAGCTCTTAGGAAGTGCCCCACTCAAGGCCCAGGCCAGTTCTGCTGTCACAGAGTGTTTCTTGTGTGCTTTCCTCACGGGGCTGTGGGGTCAGTGTCACTTTGACCTCCCTCCTTCATGGCTCTTCATGTTCCTGTGGTCCTTTTCTGCCCCAGCTCACCTTTGGAGAGACACACACTCGTGTTCTGGGAGGGATGCACAGGTTTTTGAGCATGGCTTTCCCCATCCTGGGCTTTATTTGTATTGCAGGGCTGGGCAAGGTGCTCAGGGCAGATTTCCCTCTGCTCCAGGGACATCCTGAGATGTTTCCCCCAGCCTTTTGTGCAGAGACTCAGGGGATTCCTGAGCCCTTTCCTTGGCCTTGGGGCTGTGTGAGGAAGTGTCAGGGCCAGCCTGACTGCACCAGGCAAGGAGGAAAACCTTCAGGGCAGGCCTGGAGTCTCCAGTCTCAGTTTTGCAGCCTGATTTCCCTGCCCAAACACGAATCACTTCACCTCTGATACTTCACGGAGCACCTGAGCAATGACAGGGAGAGAACCCCCAGGTGTCCCCAGCTCTTCCTGACCTCACTGCTCCCCTTCTCCACGAGCTCAGGGGGTCACAAACAGACCTGCAAGGAAATGGGAAGGGAGAAGGTGACCCTGCCACCCATGTTCACAGCATTAAGTGAAGCCTGTCAGCTCCGTCCTGCTGGCAGCACTCTGTCCCCTCTCTGCTCGGATCCCAGCACTCCTCTGAGCCAGCACAAAGGACAGACACACTCCAATCCAATTTGTTACACTTCCACCTTCCAGAGAGAGGGAGGAGAGGGGGAGGGAGGTAAAAATCCCATTAACTTTATCAAGCCTTCCAATCAGGAGCAGTGGTAAATGCAAACTCAGGAGACAGCTGCTGTGAAGCCTTTATATTTCATTCAGCAGATAGTGTATCTTTTTATTGCACGCAGGAATTACTTCTTTGCTTCTTTTTTTTTCCTTTTTTTTTTTTTTTTTTTTTTTTTTAAGAAACAACCTTTCTGTTCGACTTGACTGGGAAAAAGGAAATTCCAGGGGCCCTTTGACAATGAGGTGAATGCAGCAATGCCTGGCTAGGGGGTGACTCTGTGGGGAGAGGGAAGATGGGGAGATGTCACCCTGCACCTCAAATCCTACAGAAAATATTACACCTCCCTCGTGCCTTCCCTCTGATCCAGGTCTAGGAAGAGAGGAGAAACTCAGCTCTGTTTCTGGGGTGGAGAAAAGGATGGGAACAAAAGTTTATCTCAGAGTGTGGAGCTGAAAAACGACAGAGAAATATTTCATCCTGTATGGAGTGAATCACAGATGGTTTGGGTTGGAAGGGACCTTAAAGATCATCCAGTGCCACCCCTGCCATGGCAGGGACACCTTCCACCATCCCAGGCTGCTCCAAGCCCCATCCAGCCTGGCCTTGGGCACTTCCAGGGATCCAGGTGCAGCCACAGCTGCTCTGGGCACCCTGTGCCAGGGCCTCATCATCCTCAGAGTAAAGAATTTCTTTCTTAAAATCCAATCTAAAACTCCCCTTCTTTTAGTATTAAACCATTTTCTTTTGTCCTGTCACTCCAGACCCTTGCCTAAAGTCCCTCTCCAGCTCTCCTGGAGCCCCTTTAGGCACTGGAAGTTGCTCTAAAGTCTCTCTGGAGTCTCCTCTTCTCCAGGCTGGGCACCCCCAGCTCTCCTAGCCTGTCTTCAGGAGAGATAAATGCACTGTCTTACCCTACTACATGCTAAAGTTAGACGACTTTAAATGTTTCCAGTTTAAATGAACCCCACATCCCGGCACTGCAGGGCTGGTGGGGCAGTGAAATCTCACCTTACTCAGTCCACAATGAACCTGGGACAGCATCACTGAGAGCCAGCCAAGCCAGCAGCTCCCTCCCTCCACCTATGACCTCAGCACCACCTTCCAAAAAGCATCCAGAACCCAGGGAAGAGCAAAGCCTCATCATGAAGCCACATTCCTGTTTTGTGACCCTCACACCTTGATGTTTACCCAGAGACGGGGTGTTTCATGTGTGGGAGAGATCTTTAAAAAATGATAACAACAAAAACCACCACCGTGGAAAGAAGTCTCTACTCAGAGGGCTGCAATCTGGGGGTTTGGACTAAAACCTAACCTCAGGGTGTCCAAAATAAAGGCTTTCAGCTGACAACCCCCTCCAGGAGTTGCCTGGGCAACTGCCAAGCGTTGTGACATTTGCCACACACACAAGTCCCTCTGCCTGCAGCTACCCTGCATTTAACAGCTCAAAACAACTCATTAGCTTGTTTGCTTTCTGCCATGCGAGCAATCTGGCCTGAGCGTGGACAGAAAGCCCAGAAAATGGTGATGGGAGCAGGAAATGAGGCTGCTGTTCGAAAGCCAGGGGTTTCAAGGCCAGATTGCAGCCATCTGCTCTGCCCTGCTCTGCTCCAGCCCCTCTGCAGCCCTGAGCTCAGGGCAGGCTGGTCCTGAGAGCTCTCTGATGGTTCCTGAGGGCCAGCAGGGCTTTCTGCACTCCCCTTGCTGCCTCCAGCGTCTCTGAAGGATGCCAGGTGCCAAGGAGCATCATTTCCTGGTGGGAAAGATGGGATGGAGCTGTGGCTGGGTGTGTGGACCGTCTTGCTCCTGTTTCACCCATCTCCTCCCACCTTGTTATCTGCATTGCTGCAATCTTCTACTGGATAAGGGCTTTTTATTTATATTTTAATTGCTTTTCTCCCCCAGCTGCATTATCAGTGCTCCTGGCCAGAGCTGCCCATTATCCAGTCTGTTGTCACTGTGGGCAACCCTGTTCTCGCAGGGGTGCACATGCTCATGCCAACTTTCTGGAACTTTCTGCTCCTCAGCACCACTCAGGAGGTCATGGAATCACAGGCTGGCCTGGATGGGATAGAGAATCATAGACTGGCCTGGGTGGGAAGGGATCTGAAAGTTCCAACCCCCTTTCTGTGGACAGCTTCCACCAGACCAGGTTGCTTCAAGCCCTTTCCAGTCTGGTCTTGAAGAGACCAATATTTCTGGATGCAGAATTGTCAGGCTCCAGCTGAAACCCTGCACACACACACTTCTGGTTCCCAGAACTACAGTGCAATCCACTTAATCCCTGTATTTACAATGTGCAGGTAAAATCCCTGCATCTCGTTGTGGATGCATCCTTCATCTTCACAGCAGAACAAACAATTCCCAGCCACAGCCAGTCTGAGATCTGCAGGAATTGGTCTCTGTGGCCACCGTGAGGCACCAGATGGGTCAGGAGGTGTGGCTGTGAACCCCATTCCTGCCTTCCCTCAGGCTCCCCCCACCTCACAGCAGCTCCAGAGCCACCGTGGGTCTTTTCTGGATGATGTACGTGATCTGCTCTTTACTGCTGCTGGTTTTGGCAGCTTCTTTCGTTATTCTAACTGCCTTTGATGGGCAATTTCTGTCAGGAACTCCTCCCTCCCCTACACATACACACACTCAGACACTTAACTTCAGTCCCTGACCTCTCATTGCTGCCTTCATTATTGCTGTGAATCGTTTCTTGGCCTCGGTCCATTCCTTCTCCTTTTGGTTCCTCTACAGCTCAGCTGGTTTTATAGACTCCATCATTTTCCAGCCCAGTCTCTTTCACTGAAGGTCACTGAGAGCAAATTCTGGCAGATTCAGCCACAATGGAGTCCCCAGCCCTCCACCAGACACCTCAGCAATGGCCCGAGCAGATTTTTCTCAAGCATTTTTTCTCGAAAAGTATGGAGGATATGAAAAATTGTATCTGCCCAAGCAGATACAATTTTTCATATCCTCCATATTTGTCTACATTTTTTTCATATTCTCCAGGTGTGGTGCCACACCTGCCTGTAGACTCCAAATTCAGACACCCACTCCTCCCAGCATCCTCACTCCAGGTGTCCTTTTCCCAGAATTCTTTGGCAAGAGAACAAGAACAGTCCCACTCATGCTTTTTCCACACCTTTGTCCAAGATGAATTCTATGGGCAGAAAAGCACGGTGCTGGTCTTTTTAAGGCCAAAGATTTCCTAAGCCAGGAGCATAAACATCACCAAAAAGTGCCCTGTCACTGTGATTTCTGTGCCTTGCAGGGGTGTGGAGAGGGCTCCCTGCCCCAGCAGAGTGTCTGGATGGAGTTTGTCCATCTCCCAGCTCCCCTCTTCCCCCCCTGGCCAGCAGCAATCTCCTACCCAGGTCCATGTCAGCAGCTTTGGGCCGGTGGGAGCAGGGCACGTTCTTGAAGATGGCATCGAGGATCTTCTCCTTGACCTGGGTGATGGTGTCGCAGTTGAGGATCTTCACCGGGATCTCGGGGCTGTTCACGTTGTCGGGGTTCACGCAGCTCAGCACCTGAGAGAGAGGCACCACACCTTTCACAGGGCACTGAAACCCCCTGGCTGCCCCCCTTTGGAGTGTCTAGGGTGCAAAAAAATGGGTACCAAGGGTATTCCCTCCCTCGCACGGGCACAGAAGTGTGGTTTCACCTGGGGGTGTCCTCATTGTATTAAATCACTGAGTCTTAGAAGGGTTTGGGTTGGAAGGGCCTGAAAGATTATCTAATTCCACCCCCCCTCCACCCACCTTCCACTGTCCCGGGTTGCTCCAAGTCCCATCCAACTTGGACAATTCCAGGGATGGGGCAGCCACAGCTTCTCTGGGCACCTCTGACCCTCACCCTCATCACCCTCACAGGGAAGAATTTCTTTCTTAACAGCAGAAAACCCATGAACACCTAAAAGCTAAGTGCTTTCAGTAAAAAATGTTCATTGGGATGTCAAGGTGCCCCAATTCAGGAGTGGCCTCCTTGCATTGCCACCTGGTTTTGATGATCCCAGTGAAAAGCTTTACGTTTGTCCATCTGCACAGCCACGGAGCTAAGCAGACCCTCCTGAAAAGAAAGTTATTAATCTGAAATGCAGGGCTTCTTGAGAAACGAAACACAAACCAGCATCAACAACATTTGCTTTCACATACAGAAGAAAATCAACCCAACTGGAGAGGCCTCTCTTTTCTCAGAAGGAAAATTTAATTTTCTCTGCTCTGCCCAAGAGTAAATGCAAAGCATGTGGTGAGGGGGGGATACCTTAAACACAGAGTATTTAACAGCAATCTCCCTGCTAAGCCTTGCCTGTGTCTCTGTTGGCCATTCTGCTCACTTCTGGTTGCGCAAGTGTGAAGTCTATAAAGTTTTATAAACTTAGCACACCTTTGCACTTGAAAGGGGTGTTCAGTGCTGTACATGGTCATTAAATGTTCCTGTGGCACTTTTACAAGTGCAGATATGTTGGTTTTGGTGCCTCAGACAAATTTTAACTTGACTTAAATTCCTTTCTGTAGCATGCAAGAGGTGCTGGACTGTCCATCACTTTCCATCCTCACCTCCTAAAATGCAGTGGGAACTCAAAAATGGGGTGAAATCCTATCAACCTAATTACACACTGCCTCACCAGGCTCCCTTTGGTGATGTTGTGCTCAGCCAAGAGGGACTTGTGAAGATACTGCTTACAAAGAGCTCTGTGATCTTGCTGGATGAAAGGGGAGATGTAAATAGGAGATATTGATTAGATCATAATGCTATTATTTGTATGTCACTTCCAGAAGTATTGAAAAAGCATCAATTCAGATTATAATAACAGCACAGATTTACAGTCCTGGGGCATCTTTCATCTCAAAGGATCACAGAATTGTACATAAAACTGCTGAAATAAATCCAGTGTTGAAGGACATTAGTTGGTTTTGTCCTCTGCAGCTCTTCTGGGTTATGCCCATTCCCAGCCCACTGGAAGCTCTTCCTCTGCAAACTTCTTGGGTGCATCCAGAAAATCCCACCTGATTGCTGAGAGCCTGCACTGGTGTTTACTTTGTGGTTGGACTTAATGATCTTAAAGATGTTTTCCAGCCTAAATTATTCTGTCACAGGGAAATGGAGCAGTGATGGCAGCCTGGGACAGCTCTTTGGGGTCACACCTGGCTCTGGGGACCAAGTTACTCTCCAGGTTTCTCTCTCAGTGGTCTGAGCTCAGCTGAAATGAGCTGGTGTCAGTCAGGGCAAGCTCTGTGGTGTGATAATCTCTGATACAAACAGCTGGATTTTGGGCCAGTTCCCCAGAGAAGGCACTTGGTGCTCTTTGAAATGATCTGAGCTGCCATGCCAGGCCAGCATCTGGTGCAGAAGACCCCAAAATCTCCTGCAGGTGCTGACCAGTGTCCCCACAGCAGTACCCAGCTGGAAGGTGACAGTGGTTCCTTGATCTGGTTATCCTGGAATTTCACAGGGACACGTCAGCTTTAGAAGGTGTCAGGAAAACTCTGCCTGAGTGAACCACACTCAATCACACCCTGGCTACAGTAAATGCTTCCCTGTTTTCCAGCTCAGCTGGAAGAAGGAGCAGGGAAGGCAATCCTTCAAAGGGCTGTTCTTGTGCTCCAAGCACAGCTGGGGCAGCTGGTGACCCCTGCAAACCCCTAAACACCTCTGTGTTCCTTACAACGGCTGTCAAGGCTCTCCCTTCGACATCTTAGGGAATTCAAACCCCAGTTAAGGAAGCCAACCCCATTCCCAGAGCACACTGCCTTTGGCATATATTCCCCAGGCTTTACATCATCTTTCCAGTGGAGTTTTCCAGCTGTTCTCGTGTAGAGCATGAAACTTTTCTCCATTTTCTCCATACTCAAGCCAGAAACAAACCCCACTGCTGCAGCAGTGCTGCTCAGAGACTTCAACACAACCTTTGATGCCAGCTGTGGGGAAGAGACCCCATGATGGGTTGTGTTCCTGAAGGACTGGTCACTCTGAGGGAGGTTTTGTGATGTGGATCTCCCAAATGCAACGTTGCTGCTCCATCACCCACCAGCTTCATTTGGGCTTCAGGGTCACTCAAGGCTGTGACTGTTTGGGCACTGAGAGGACAGCAGTGCTGTTCTGTCACTCAGAACTCTGTGTCCCATCAGGATGTGGGGTCAGCATGGATGGCAATGGGAGTGGGAGCACATGGAGAAGTTATCTCTGAGCCCTGCTCTCCCACTGACTCTGTGTGGCCTTGGAACATCTCATTTCTCTGGATTTGTGTTTACTGACCTTTTACTCCATCCTTGGGCTTTTTTTTTTTTTTTATCTGCCAGCTCTTCCAGCCATGAGCCTTCTCTGAGTGTCTGTATACATGCAAAACTTGGCTCAGGTAAGCCCTGATTTCCACTATACATTAGTGGCATTTAAAAAATAAAGGCACAGTTTGTGATTACTCCCATGGTGACCCTGGTTCTGAGTTTGTGTGTTTTTTCCTGAGACCAGGACATCTCTGCAGTTCCTGTCCCAGGGACAGAAATCCTTCTCTCACCTCTGTATTAGCCTGGAATGTTCCATGGGGTTTTCATACAGTCAGGTTTGGAGGAGAAAAAGGAGAAAGGCCCCAAGAAAGCCAAGCATAGGAAAGCATTCAGAGAATTATAGAATTGTAGAATGGTTTGGGTTGGAAGAGCCTGAAAGATGATCTAATTCCACACCCCTGCCGTGGGCAGGGACACCTCCCACCATCCCAGGTTGCTCCAAGCTCCATCCATCCTGGCCTTGGACACTCCCAGGGATCCAGGGGCAGCCACAGCTTCTCTGGGCACCCTGTGCAGGGCCTCCCCACCTTACAGGGTAGAATTTTTTTCTAATTTCCAATCTAAACCTATTCTCTTTTAGTCTGAAGTCATTCCCTCTTGTCGTGTCACTCCAGGCCTCTGTAAATAGTCTCTCTCCATTTTTCTGTTGGAATTCCCACATTGCAACCACTGAATCAGTTCTGGCTTTATTTCATTACTCTATATTTTTAATAAAATATGTCAGGCAGCTCAAGGAAGGTAGAAGAAGGACAAAATATAACAGAAATAAAGAGAAACAGAAACGAAGAACAATCCTATTCATATTCTGCTCCTTCCTAATCTCCTTCACCAGAGCTGATCTCTGTAAATCTGCTGAGATTCCTATCGGGGTATATTTGTCTGCTCTTGAGATGTAAGAGGGAGAGCTGATTATCATCAAGCAGCACAAAGCCAGCAGAGGAGAGCTTTGTTCAGCCTGATGTATAATTACTACCCTTTGCTGGCTGCTTTAGATCAAGCCTAAAAGGATCGGGGGGATTTCCTTCGGTGAAAGTGATCACTCTGTGACTGCATTTTTTTTCTCTTTTCTGCTCATTTTCTCCATGTGTGATCAGTCTTCTGAAATTTTAGACAGCCACACATAACAGCAGAGAAGCAGCACTCTGCTGACTTAGTAGGAAAGTCACGTTTTTAATATGCAGAATAAAACTGTGGCCTTATTTAAGAATTAAGTCCACCCCCGCATCAGACTTGGATTCAATCAAAGCTCAGCTCTAGACTGGAGTTGAAGAACATGAAAGGACATTTCTAGCATCAGGCTGTCTGGCCTGAAGTCTAAGACAGGTCTAAGACAGGTTAAGGTCTAAGACTTGGAACTAAATGATCTTTAGGGTCCCCTCCCAAACCACCCCATGATTCTGTGATTGGACACAGCCCCCAGAGGTATCTGGGGCTAAGTGAGGTGAATGTCCCTCATTTGAAAGTGCAATAAAATAATCTGATCAGTTTAGAGCATCTTCTGACTGTCCTAAAACTTGGGATTTACTGAGAATAATGATGGGAAATAGAAAAATTGCAGGGATCATTGAAGGCTTAGAAAGTGTTCTTCATCCAGCAGAGACTTAGAGGCTCAGTGGATTTAATGCATCCAGGGAAGAATGAAGGCCCACAAACACTCTAAGAAGAGATATCTAATGCTCTTTAATTGATGCTCCTTAATCAAGTGGGAAGAGAGTGTAATCTCAGAGCAGAAGCTAAAGCTGCACATATGCAATGTATATCTTGCCCCATGCAGACAATTCCATTTTGGGGGAAAAAGCTCAGTGACAGGGATTAATTTTCTTTCCCTTGAAATCTTTAAATCAAGTTCCGTTTTCTTTGACTTGTGCTTTCTCAGGAGGGAGGGCTGCACCAGCTCTAGAGCTGACCTGATATGTCCCTGCACTATGCACCTCTGACTATTCCTTGATGCTGAAATCCTCATTGGAGAAACACATTTTAAATTTTCACAGTCAGCCTTAGGCAGCATTACCCTACTGAAACACGAGAACAAATCACCCCAGAGGGTCGACCACTGGTTTCTGCTCTCTAAAGGCCCTTTAGGCATAAGATTCTGGGGCAGCCCAGGGGAAGGTGTGCCCAGAGCACTCACCAGGGTCTTGTAGTCGATCTGCTGCCGGATGAGCTTGTCCTCGCTCAGGGAGTACCGCGCCTCGCCCGTGATGGAGTCAATGGGGCCCTTCTCCATCTGCTGCTTGATGGCACAGAACAGGGAGAAGAGAGGCTCTCCAGCACACTCCTGCAGGGATGAGAGGTAAGCACGAGGTGAAACTACAGGCTAGAACTGAGAGTCCAGCCTGGGCATCCCAGTGACTGCCTTGGTTCACCATCCCGAATCGCTCATGATGGACATCAGTGGGAACCAGTCCATTCCAACAGCACAGGATCAGTGACCCTCAACTTGCACAGAGTGCAACCAGCCCTTGGGCACACAGTGGGACCCTTGGGGATGGTCCTGTGCAGCCTTAGGGTCTGGATTTGACGGTACAAAGCTCTTGGGCACATGGTGGGGCCCTTGGGGATGGTCCTGTGTAGCCTCAGGGTCTGGATTTGATGGTACAAAGCTCTTGGGCACATGGTGGGGCCCTTGGGGATGGTCCTGTGTAGCCTCAGGGTCTGGATTTGATGGTACAAAGCTCTTGGGCACATGGTGGGATCCAGGATCTGGATTTGGTGGTACAAAGCTATTGGGCTCATGGTGGTACCCTTAGGGATGGTCCTGTGCAGCCTCAGGGTCTGGATTTGATGGTACAAAGCTCTTGGGCACATGGTGGGGCCCTTGGGGATGGTCCTGTGCAGCACCAGGACTTGGATTAGATGGTACAAAGCTCTTGGGCACATGGTGGGATCCTCAGGGATGGTCCTGTGCAGCACCAGGAGCTGGACTTGATGATCCTTGTGGGTCCCTTCCAGCTCAGCTTATTCTGTGACCCTGTGAGTGTCCTGTCATGCTGTCAGTGCTCCCTGGCAATGCTCGGGCTGTTCAAGTGATTGCTACCAGGCCAGGGCTTTGCACTGGTGGAGCAGGTAGTGGGATGGGTCCCAAATGACCTGGAAGCAGGTTTTAAAGGGAGATGGATGGCTGGTGCCACATCCTGGATGTCTGGGCAGAATCCATAGACTCTTTGAGCACTCTCATGCTGCAGGCAAACAGGAATTCTCAGGCCCAGATGTGCCCCTGGACCTGTGTGCAGGTGACAGAAGTGTGGGGCCCAGCACAGGACAGCAAAAAGCAGCTCCAGGCAGGCACAGCCAAGCTCATCTGTCCCTAATTTCTCCTCATCGTTTCCACTCACTCTTCCCACACTTTTCCCCCCCTTGCTGCCCTCCCTCAGTGCCATGCACCCCGAGCTTTCTGCTCCTGAATCCCTTCCCCTTTATCCCTCCCTTCTTCCTCTCCTCTCGTGTCCCAACTCAACCAGCGAGGTCATTTTCCTCTGGTGTAAATCCCAGCAAAAACAAGTTAATAATCGGAGGCAAAGTGGCCCCTTTTTCAGTCCCTACACCTGTCTCCCACTTAATTAGCTTATCTGCCAGCAGCATATTGCTTCTGTGTGCCTGTCTCCTGCCCTTATCAGGCCTCTGTTCAGGCTAAGGCAAGAAGACAAGTAGCTGAGTGGGGTGAAAAAAGCCTATTATAAAAGCAGCTCTTTAGAGAGTCACCTCCTTATATCCTTTCCTTTCAGCTGAAAGCAGGGATCTGATACTGGAGTCACTGAAATTACCTTCCAGGGACCTTCAAAACTTCCCCATGAGCTTGTCCTTGAACTGGTCGTGCCTGGGGAAGGCTCAGGGGGATTGGGGTTTATTTGTGCAGCCTCAAATTGCCTGGTGGAGGTGGTTATTCTGTCCAAATGAGGATGTGAGGTGGGAGGATATTTAGCAGCTGCAGTGGGAGTGGGGGAGAGGTGCAGAGCTCAGCTCCTTCCAAAAAGGCTGGCTCTGAGCTTGGTGATTCTTGAGGCTCAGTGTGGGTCCTGCAGGGGAAATTGGATCCCTCCCACAGTCAGTGGCAGGGCTCAAAGACTGAAAGACTTTTTCAACTACACAAAGTTAAGGAGACCTTCCAGGAGGAATGAGAGAGCTCAGGGAGCTGTGTCTCAGTGCTGCCTCTGAGCTGGGGTGGAAGGAGATCTCCACCCACTGTGCACTGAAAATATGGGTCACCACATGATGGAGACCTCAGTCTGCTGTTAAAAGGACAGCATTTTCCACACAGGTCTCAGGCAGGCTCTGAAATCCTTCCCATTTCCACACTGACCCTTAAATCCCACCTCTGTATAAGAAAGGGACTAAAAGTTGCCTCTCTAACAAAGTGCCTCTTATGTTCTCCCTGGGACAGAAAATAGCCCATCTCCTATTAGACAGTGACCTCTTCCCAGAGGCAAAAAAAAAAAAAAAGCACCTTTAACTTTCTATCTGGGAAGTTTTCACCCCAACTGATCCTCACTAAGAAGAAATGCTTTAAAGCAGGTATTTTTCCAGGCATGCTCCTCTTCTTACCTTGAGGAACTTGTAGAGGAGGAAGGTGAACCAGTTGGTCAGCATTTTCTCAGCCACAGACTCTGTCCTAAAGTGGAGAAAAAAGAGATTTAGAAATGCTGGTCCTATCAAAATCCTGTCCTTGTCCATCTTCCTGCCCAGTGGGAAGTCTGGCATGGCACCACCAGGATTTAGCACATCCTAGGTTCCCTGTTTTAGTTTTGGATTTAGGAAACATGCAGGAAAAACCTTGCTGCCCTGTTGATTCTCCTGTGACTACAAGTCCCTGTGTGTCTGTTTTTCAGTTTCTCCAACAACGAAAAGGAGTTGATGACATTTGAGGGAATCTTCTCCAAAGAGCTCAGGGCGGATAAATCCATCAAATCTGAGGAGCTCAGAGCGAGGCCATATGTCAAGGAGGCTGTATAAATACTCTGGAAAGACAGATCTAAGTCTCTGGGGAACAGTTATCTGGCACTGCCTATCTCCCTGGCATTTGGGAGTGATTACACTCCTCAATGTGTCACTGTGGCACATACACAGAGCACATCCTTCTGCCCTTGAGCACTCTGTCCTCAATCAAACAAAAATCCATCTCGAGGCTTCAGGGTGAGCTTCTCCTGCAGAAACTTGTGCTGGCTTCAGCACATGCACTGGAGAAAAAAACAAGAGAAACCAAGAGAAACTTGGGAAAGCAAGAAAAAAGAAGAGTCCCTGCCTGGAAGAATTAAAGTGGGTCCTTGTCATGGCTCTCACCTAAGCCATGCAGGGGTTCTTGCTTGTTGTTGCGGTGCTCTCTGCCCAGAAAATCTGTTTGGGGCCATAAATGTCATGCAGGATGAACACTGGACACAGCTGAGGTGGGAAAACCACTTCTATCAGCTCATTTCTTCTGTCAGACTGCAAAATATTCCCTTTCACAGACTCATGGGGAGGGAAGGGAAGCACCAAGTTGAATCCAGCTGCTCCAAAGAGCTGTCTGAGGACCTCACACCAACATCTGACCAAGGCACTGAGCTATTCACATGTTCTGTCCTGGTGCTGCTCAGTGCAGGACTTCCTTCTCTGACTTCTCCTGGTGCTTCCAGGGTTTGGAACACTGGATGTGCCTTCTTGGTTCACTGGCTCTCCTTCCAAAGGCCACAACTAATGTCCAACAAAGAGGATTAGACTTAGAAAAGAGCTGGAAGAAGGAGAAAGGGGAAAGATGGGATGATCAGAGTGAGCAAGAAAGGAAGACAAAGAGATGGAGAAAGGGGAAGGAAAAGGAGGAAATGAAGGGGGGAGGCAGTGCCATCCAGCATCAGAGAAGAAGCACAGGCAGGAAGCTGGGGACAGCTGGAGGGTGGTCACCAGCCAGGCTGCAGGGCTTGACCACATCAGGGAGTCAAGTGATGCCAAAGCAAAGTCCAGCCTCTGCCCCTGGCATTGCTGCCCTGAATGCCAGGAACTGCCTCCTGCTCCTTTTCTGCTGGTTCTTACAGTGGGCCCTGTGCCAGATGAAGAATCTCCCCAGCCCAGCAGGCACCAGAGATCTCCTCTGTGTCCCAGCCGTCCATTGCAATCAACTGGGGGCTCCTCAGAGCCAGCTCTGAGCTGTGGCAAAGGCCACTCATCTCCAGAAGACTTCTCCTGATTTTATTTAGGGTCCTTGAACCAGGAGGGTTGGTCCAGTGTGTGAAAGGGAGATGAATCTCATCCTAAAGGCAGAAGAGGGAGCACTTCCCTAGGCAAGGAAAGGACATTAATTACAGAGCAGTAGATTACAAATTTGAGGTTTCCCCCAGAACTGTGGAGTTTAAACCTTAGCCCAGGCCAAGAAGCATCAATTCAAACTTGCTCCCTGTATGAAACCAGTTCTGTTGTCCCTCTCTTCTGCTGATCTCCACTAACTCCCAGCTCTGGAAGAGAAAGGAGATCCCAAAATGCAGCTGAAGACTCTCCACGTGTCCGTAGTTAACTCAGGAACAAGAAACAAAGCTGGGAAATCCGTGTCCCAGGCAGGAGATAGAAGAAGTTGATTCCTCTCACCAGGGATTTAATAGACCATATAAGTGATATTCCTATAGGTCCTACACAACATTATCAGAGCTTTCAGATTAAAAGGAAATGTAAGCATAAATTAACATTTTAAGCATTCAAAGAGCCCCTAAATAAGGATGAAGCTTTTTCTGTCTTTGTGAAACTTTCTGGAGGATCCACATGAAAATTCAGAGGTGGATTAGTTCTGTAACTTTTGATCATTGACTACCTTTTGGTTAGGAAGGAGATGGAGCAAGATCAACATCTCCAAAGATGATGTTTATATGGGCACTGTGGGAAACAGTAAAGGTAAGAAGACTTCCAGAAAGCTGTAAAAGCAGGCCCTAGAACGGAGCAAGATCAACATCTCCAAAGTGATGTTTATATGGGCACTGTGGGAAATAGTAAAGGTAAGAAGACTTGCAGAAAGCTGTAAAAGCAGGCCCTAGAAACCGAAAGAACAGAAAACTTGGAACTAGCTGCAGCTGCAAAGTCTGAAAGTAGAAAAAGTTACAATAGTACAAGCAAGCAAGGACATGAAACAATAGCTTGAGTTTCAGGCTTGGCTAAGATAGACCTTAAGACTGCAGAAAAATATACTTAGCAAGATAGTAGAAGGTTTTAAGCTTAATAATGGTTTAGGTAGAAAGTTTTAAGCTTAATTGTGTATTGCTAATAGAAAGCATACAAGCAAAAATTGTGTGAAGCAGGTGTGCATGTGCTTTTAGTAACTGGCTAGAATAATTGTCTGTAAGCTTTAGCAGTAGCCATTGGCTAGAAAGGTTTTTAAATGCTCTGTAACAAAGTATCTTAGGTTGGAAATGGGGGTTTTCTATTTCTATCTGTTAGAGTAGGAGCAGTTATCTTCTGTTCATGGGCAGTTTTCTTTATCTCGTAGAAAGTTTTAAGCTTAATTGTGTATTGCTAATAGAAAGCATACAAGCAAAAATTGTGTGAAGCAGGTGTGCATGTGCTTTTAGTAACTGGCTAGAATAATTGTCTGTAAGCTTTAGCAGTAGCCATTGGCTAGAAAGGTTTTTAAATGCTCTGTAACAAAGTATCTTAGGTTGGAAATGGGGGTTTTCTATTTCTATCTGTTAGAGTAGGAGCAGTTATCTTCTGTTCATGGGCAGTTTTCTTTATCTCTCCCACAGCCAATCCTCCCTCCAGGAGATCTCTGCTGTCCATGGCCACTGAGTGTCCCTGCAGGGCTGATCAAATTCCAGCATCCCATGGGGAGATGCTCCGCCCAGGGCAGGAGCCAAGCATTCCTACCTGGATACAATCTGAGCCTGGAACAGCACAGCAGCCTTTGCCCACTGCATTCCCAGAGGAGCAGCTTTCTCCTGCCCCGCATTCCCAGAGGAAGAGCAGGCAAACCCAAGACACAAAGAAATCTTTGGCTCCTGCTGGTTGTACATCAGCTGTTGCCATCTTCCAATTGTCTCAACCACACAATGAGGCTGCAATAAAGCTCAAGGAACATCTCCCATCAGTCCCATCCCGTCCATGCAAAACCCCAACACAGGCACAGCCCTCCCAGCCCGGCTCCCTCCATGCCCTGGCATCCTCACCTACGGAGCAGCAGCTTGGGGTGGTTCTTGCTCTCCAGGTTTTTGTCGATGAGGTCGGCCAGCAGCTGTTTGAGGACGTCGGTGGCGTACTCCAGCTTGCTCTGCAGCACCGTCATGATCAGCGAGGCCACGTTGCCGCGGTCGCGCATGGAGAAGCTGCGCTGCGACTCCAGCGTGCGGATGAAGGACAGCAGGAACACCTTGTTGTTGATCAGCTGGGCAAAGAGCTTCAGGCCCTTCTCCACCCGTTCCTGACGGTAGCCAGGGACCTGCGTAAGAAGAAAGGGAGTTTTTTTGCCTTTCCCTCATTTTCCCACTGTCGAATGTCCTGTTGTCACTCTCTCTCTCTCTCTTTGCTCTCATCCCTCCAGCTCCTCAGCTAAGGAAAGACAGGAAGGGAATCCATACATCATCTAAAGATTAGGAACTCTGAGAAGACTCCCAGCCATGTCCACATGATTTCTCCAGTCCTGTTTTCCCCTCTCTGATCAGTACATCTGTGGCAGCAGCTCTCTGGCAACAGAGAGAAACACAACTTTCCCAGGCATTGTTCTGGGAAAAGCTGTGAGAAAAGCAGAGAAAAGAATGAGAAACAATTCTTATCTTCACTTGCTGCACCTGGTATTGTGAACATGTGGAATGTGTTATGGAGATTTGTTTACCAAAAGGTGGTTTCTTAATTAGCCAATAGTGATGATGTTTTAATTAGAGGACAAATTACGTCTACCTGTAGTGAACTAGGGTATAAAAGTATCTGTTTCTTAATAAAGATTATTATGATCAGCCTTCTGAAATGCATGGAGTCTATGCTAATTATTACCCAGCTGGGGGCCTGCTTGTGTTGACATACATCCAAAAGGGATTTCTGGTGCCTAAATGTGTTGCCATGCCATGTTATATTTTTATTTTAGTCAGAATGAAGTCTTACTCTGATTTAGTCCAAAACTTCTTTCTCATTCCTGCAAGAAACCTGCCTGCAGAGGAGTAGGGTTCAGCTTTAGAGAGCTGGGAGAGGCAGCAAAGAGTGAATGGGAAAGAGAGCCCAGGATGAGGTTCTGAGGAGATGAAGAGAGGCAGTGAGGCAGTGGCTGAGATGGTGACCATGGAACTGGGCCTTGGTTTGAAGAGCAAGGCAGATGAAGGTGTGAGAGGACACCCTGAGCTCCAGCAGAACCCCTGGGTTTGGGAGCTGAGGTGTTTTGGAGGCAGAGTGATTGATAAGTCCCTTATTTCTCAGCTGTGAGAGGCTGATGAATTCATTTTTAGATGGAACAATTTAGGACCTCAGTGCTGGACCCTGGGCTCCACAGAGGTCTTTTTGATCCTTCTGGCTCTAGGCAAAGATGGAACCTAAATAGAGAACCCCAAACTCATCCCTCTACTTGCTGAAGCTTTTCCAGCCCTTGAAAAGTTTTCTTGGAAGCTGGAGGGTCTCACCACAGAGTAACACATGTCACCAAGGCATATATGAATTAATAACCACCCAAATTTGGCACTTCAATGCAAAATAAGTTGGCTTGCATAAACAGCCAAGCAATGCAAGGCCCCTTATAGAGTTGTTACTTTTTAATTCTGGAAATTAGAGTTCTGCACTCTTTTTGCATCCAACAAATAAATTACTTCCTAAATAGATTGAGGCAAGCAACCAACCAACAAACCACCACCACCCATCCTGCCAATAATTATTTTTAACTCACTTGCTTGAACATTTAATATTGTCTATCCCTGGGTTATTATGGAGAATTAAAACAAAATAACTAGAAAAGTATTTTGTGCTGCATCTGGAAGCAGTTAATTAGCAAATGAACTGGAAATAAGTAAGACCTTCTCACTGTGGGATCTGTGCTGGGGCGTTTTGCAATAAATAGCAATTCCTTCTGGGTGCTACAGAGAAGGGAGCAGAATGGGAGCTGCCTTCACGTTGGTAGCCAAAGATGCTGACACTGAGAGAGATGGTGAAGGTTTACAAAGGATTAAGGGGAAAAAAACCCCAACGAATGGAATGAAAGAAAGAAGAGATCAAAAGTGTTGGATTGAAACATTAGCTCAGTGTGTATCTACATGGGGGAGCATCCATGCTAAGGCCTCTGCAGGGGTCAGATGCTGTTCTGTGATCAGCTGGATGGGGTTAGTGAATGTAGGGATTGAAATGATGGAAGTGTTTGTGTGTGCACACCTGTGAGAGGGAGGTTCAGCACCCCTCATTCCTCCTCGTTTGTTGGAGCTGCTCGTCCTGAAGGAAAGCAGCTGGATGCCACTCAACCTGCTCTCCAAATCCGTATGGTAGCCGGTGTAACTCAGCCTCCTACCCAGTCCCACAAGCCCTCCTTGCTGACAGATCAGGTTTTTTAATGTCTCTCTCCACACAGTCGGATGAATTTTCGCTCTTCCGAGTGGCAGGAGCAAAGCCGAGCAGGCATCTCTGATTACACAGCCAGCCAAGCGTGGGCCTGCCTGTGCCAGCTCCTGCTCCTCATTCCTGCCAACCAAGCCCAGGCCTGGCCTCCAGCAATCTCCCAGAGCCATGCCAGAACCTCTCTGGAGCTCAGAGCCTGCCAGAGGCTTTGCAGAGAGCTCAGCCAACACCTTGGCCATGGTGTGGCTCCTGATTCTCCAACCCAGGTATTCCTAGAGCAGAGCCTGTCCATCTGTCAGAGCCTGGAGCAGATTTTAGCCTGGAAAACCTCACCTGGGCTCCCATCAAGCTCTTGTCACTACTCAGGTGATACAGGCTCTGTGTATACCCCAAAATTTGTGAACAACCTCTCACAAATCTCCACCCAGAGAGTCAGGGTGGAGGAGGAAGATGTGGGCAGGGTATGGACAGACTGACTGTGGTTTTCTGACCTCACTGCAAACCAGAATGCAGCAAAGATGAACCTCCCTCAGTGACAGGGGCTTATTTTTATAGGGGTTGCCACAAAGAAAACCTGGCCTCATAGTTGTGTGAGGGTCATGCAAAGCTCGATGACACAGGCAAACATCTTCTCTGTCATACAACAGGTTTTCCTTGCCCCTGCACAGCAGAAAATATTAAATCCATTCTAAAACTCAAGGCACAGAAGAGTTAAGACCAAAGAGAAGCTTAATCGAGCAGACCTATGATTTATGAGTTTTCCAAATGAGTGAGTGATCAGACAGAATTTAGCAGGTAACAAGTGACAGGATGAGAGGAAACAAAGTTTTGCCAGGGGAGGTTTAGATTGGAAAGTGGGAAAAATTTCTTCATTGAAAGGATAATCAGATGGTGGAACAAGCTGTCCAGGGGAGTTGTGGGATCACAATCCCTAGAAGTTTTCAAAAAGTGTGTGGATGTCACACATGGGGACATGGTTTAGTGATGGAGTTGACAGCATTGGGCTGATGTTTGGAATCGATGGTCTTAGAGGTCTTTTACAACCTAAATGATTTTATGATCTAATATGATCTAAGATAACAGAAAACATTTCCCCCTTCAACCCAGATTTTTAATGAGGACCTGTTTCACCCCTTGTAAAATCCTCACATCCCCACCACTGAGACAGAATCTCTGAAATTCAGGACCAAACAGGGAGGCATGAGAAGAGTTAGAAGCAGGAAATGTTGTTGTTTTACCTCCAAATCCCTCAGGACTGGATGATCTTCAATGCCAGGGAAAAGCACTCTCATCGTGTAGGTTCGGTAGTCAAGGAAAGGGATCCCAGCTCCATCCAGGTCACTTGTCAGCTCATGGATATCTGTCTGCAGCTCTGCAAAGGCTGGCACAAAAACAGAACAACTCAGGGAACAGTGAAAATCCAGATCAGCCTCACCAGAATGGGAAAATCCCCCAACCCTCATGAATGAGAATAAGGAATAAGGCAACATTCGGAGAGTAGGAAGGTGGATGAGAGCAGGGTTGCCTTTCCCCAGGGACTTGTGCCAAGGCTTTGTGATGATTTTGAATTATCAAATCCAGTTAGGAGAGGGTGGAGAAAGTCTGAACTAAGGGAAAACAAGGAAAGTCAGATTAGACCCAGGCTCGAGCCACACCCACAGGGTTCAACACTGTGGTGCTTTGGCTCAAAGCTTTACATCTGGATGTCTCCAACGCTGACACAGTGTCATCCTGCCTTCCTCACCCTACCTTCTTTGCACTCCAGGGCCACCCTGGACTCCAGGTTGTCCATCTGCATCTGCAGGCGCTTGAGGGTGAGGTCGCTCTCCCTGGACTTGCGCTTGTACGCGATCAGCACGGCCACGATGAAGATGATGAGCAGCCCGCCGGCCACCGCGATGCTGACGATGGCTGGCAAGCTCAGAGGGCTGTCTGGGGAGATGTAGACCATCCCTGGAGAGAACTCCATCCCTCCTACACGAGCCTAGAGGGAAAGCAGCAAAGAGCTGCACTGAAACTGTCAAAGGAGCAGGAGTGCAGAGGGGCTCTGTCATCGTCCTGGCTGAGGGTGAATGGTGACATCCCCTTGTCTCCCAAGCCAAAAGGGGAGGTGTTTGGATATGGAACAGCTTAAAAACACTTGAAATGCCAGACAGAATCACCTCTGTTGGCAGTCACCATGAACCCAGCCACAAAAGAATTTGTGAAACAAGTTGCCGGTCACAATTTCTCCTATCAGTTTGGATTTCATTCTGGATTTTTCATTCCCCATCCTGATGTGTTGTGTGGGGCACTGAGGTCACTCAGTCCCAAAATACACACAGAACACAGAGCTCAAAGTATGGTCTGATGGCTACTAACCCCACAGTGGGGCAGAGGAGACTTGACTCATTGAGTGCAGTGGGAGTGCAGAAATCAGAGTCACTATTTTCTTTGACTCTCCCACCAGATAAAGCTGTACTTGAAAGCCTCTGGGATAGTGAAAAACCACCACAAACCCCACAAAGCCTGGCCCATTCTCTTTACAGCCCCTATCCTAGCCACACATTGTCAGGGTGACTGCAGATGTGCACCAGTAGGAGTTGAACACAGCTTTTTGTTCTCCATGTACTTCCAGAGGTTCCCAGAGCTGCTTCCAGCCTCTGGAAGAAGCTGCTGTGAAAGGGCCTTGGTTTTAACAACGAGAAAGAAACCCTGCAAGGCCTCCTGCTGCAAGCCCAACAAACTGTTCTGCTGAAGCAAGTTCCTTAGAGCCCTTTTTTACAACATGAACACCATTCCCAACAGGAATCCCACAGGATACCACTGGCTTCAGGCTACTACAGGGCTGTTCAAAGCTATTTGTAGAGCAGGCAACGCTTGAGTGGTGGGAGAAAAGCTCTGCTGGCTGGCCTGGAGTATAAAAAGGCTTCTAGGGCTGTGTTGTGGTTTGGGAATGCTGGTTGTGGGTCAGCAGAAAGCTGGGAAGATGCCATGCCAAAAGCTTGAAGGATGATGAGCCCCATCACTTCACCCCAGCTGAGCTGTGTCACAGAGAGGCACAGCTGGCGCTGCACAAAGGGCAAACTCCTGCTGCCAGGCAGAAAATGCACTTAAAACCTCAGGGCTGACTGTTTCCTAGTCCCATTGCACCTGGGCCCACTACAGTGTGGAATTAAACTGTTTTATTCCTCCGTTGTGAGGAGTTCTCCCTCACATTTCCTCACGTTTCTCCCCCACACCCCAGCCTGGTGTTCAGCCTTGTCCTGCATCCCACTGGTTCTCAGTTAATCTCCAGCCTGCCTGGACACTTATTAATCCCAGGGTTTCCCCCATCTCAGCTCAGGCACCTACTCAGGTTTCCTCTCTAGGCTGCAGGAGAAGAAACTATCCCAGCTGGAGCCAGCAGAAGAGACTACAGGGCAGAATCATGAATTAATGAATTTTCCCAGGTGCTCTCCACCCCAGCCCTTTCTGAGCACATGAATCTCAGTGACTTTATCTCCTAGAAGTTATTGCAGCCCCAGTTGCAGCCTCAGGGAAGAAGGTTGTTTTGCTCTGCCACCAGGTGTAGGCTGCTCCTCAGTGGCCAAAGAAACACAACTACAATCCTTATGTCATGGGCAAGACCAAAGTGAATGCCTGAAAACAGCTAATTTCCATCCACAAGGCCGTCTCATGCCATTTTGGGTTGGTGTCTGGAGACATGAAATGTCCACAATGAAAAACAAAACTAATCCTCAACTCATCTGTTCAGGCAATAGTTTCAAGATGACCAATTGCTACCATGACACTGATGGCTTGTAGAGCATTTTCAGTGGCTAAGGAACCTTAGACACACAGTTGGGATGCAGCAGTAATGAGTTTTCCATCTATTTCAAGATACAAGATCCAGCTCACTTATAAATCCTGAGGTTTGTTGTTGGAATGTAGCCTGCTCAGCTGAGAAGGCAAACTGCCAAAATCACATCCTAATCCATGCACTGGAAGTTGTTCCCTTTTGCCCTAGACCACTGTCCCAAAATTTTCTCACAGCTTGCACACTCTCCTTCCTGTCAGAGGGTCAATAAATTGCTTAATTCTTTGTCATTTTCTCTTTCTCCAAGCCCTGCAGTCAGATGAGTCCATTAGAGGAATATCAGACTAGACTCAAACACCCCCAGTCCCAAGTTTACAGTGCAGATCCATCCTCAAAGCTGGAAGAACAGCCCGTCTCCATGGGTGGGATTTCTCTCGCCAAATATTCCATGTGCACATCCGAGTTAGATGTTGCAGCATGATTCCAGAGCCAACAAAGAGAAAAAACACTTTCAGGATGTGATTTATGTGAGCTGCTCCCGACACCTTTGACATTGAGACGAGGAGTTTCATTCAGTGGAAGTTCCCATTTCTCTCCATTCATGACAAGGGGATCTAAGCTCCAAAAAAGCAGGTGTTCAAAGTCAGGCCCAGTGTGTTCCCCTTCAAAGGTGGTTTCATCACTGGGAAGGTCTCACAATCCACAAGTGAAGCTGTCATGATCTGAGGGAATCTGGCTCTTGAAGAAGAAAGTCTACGAGGCTGCAGTGTTATTGTGAGCTTTTAAAAGAAACACAAGAAAATATGTGCATACAGCCCTACTGTACTTCTTAATCCACCAAGTGGTTCTGAAGGAAGCTATTTTTAACTTCCAGAAGGCTGACCATGAACCCACCAAAGAGCAATAATCTGGTCATTTTTAAAGACTATTAATCATGAATTTGTCCTAAATTAGACTAAATGTTCTAAATGGGCTCTGTCAGAGCCTGGTTTTCTCCAATGGAGTCTTAGTGGCCACCTGTAGGAGTTCAGGAGTTCTGAAGAAGTGTCTTTCCTGGTGCAAAATTGGCCAAATAAAATTATCCCTTTAAGGATGAGATGAATCATGCCCTGACCTTCAGCTGCTGCATTCGACCATTTCTCCATTCGTTATACAGAGTCTGGGGTACTTTCCAGAATGTGTCAGAAACCAGGAAATTTTCAGATGCATTCCACATCATCCCTGCAGATCTTCTCTGGTGTAGCCACTCGTGGATCTTCCTCACATCTCTTTGTTTTCCTTGGAAAAACTTGCCTCTGACTTTTAGTCAGTCTTCTTTTTAACCATCGCCCAAGCCTTTTATTTCCTTGCTATATTTTTTTTTTCAAATACTTAACTCTGTCATTGTGTAAAACACAGCTCAAAATCAGACAGCTCAAAAGAAGACAGATCAAAAGCGTGTTGACATCAACGTGTGTCATTGCCACTGCTCCTTCACTTAGAAATAATCTCTGTGCTGCACCAGTTGCTTCACTCCCATGGCTCCCTCTCAGCTTGTGTCACCTCACTTTGCAAGAAATGGTTTGTTCAACAATTTTCTCAAGGTCAGAGAGTAAGTCTTTGGCAAAATCAGGAGGAGGAACTTCTATCAGTTATCCTGGCCATCAAAGAGATGTTTTGATGCCTTGAGAAGGCTGAGCTAGAACAGCTGGAGTTACAGAATACAGCAGGGATGGATTGAAAGGATCTCCTCCATGGATGCCCCTCGGGCAGCACAAGAGCCCAGCCAGGGCTGCCCCCAAGATGAACCCAAATGGTCCCAAAATGCACGAACGCTCCCGGGGTCTCTCCCTGGGATCAGCTCTGCTCCATGTGCACATTGCAGTTCAGTGTCCAATTCCAGCTCAGCCCCTGCACTCCCATCCTGCTTGTTTTTCTCTCTCCAGCCCACGGGGTTTGTGCTCTTGGGGCTGAGATTTGGATCATTTGTCCTTGGTGCCCAGCTGGAGCAGGAATTGTTTTGTCTCCCTGCTCTGTGCACAGAGCTCACCATCCCATAATGTGAAGCTCAGACCCACACACTAAAGCAGCTCAGAATGTGAAAATAGAAAAGCTAAAACCTGAGGCATCAGTTTGTGTGAAACACAGTCCCAGCCTGAGCAGCAGAGATGCTGTGCCATGCTGGAGGAGGCATTTTCCAGCCCTGGTTCCAGATGCAAAGTCCACCCTTGAGCACCTCCATCACCTTCCCAGTTTCCCAGCAGTATCCCTTCTTTGACCAGCATCCTCAAAAAGGGATTGTTTTTTAATCTTTGGCTTCACTTAAACTGTCCAAAGCTGCAGGAGCAGGGGAGTCTTCTCAATTAGTGCAGCCTGGCCAGATGTCCATCATCCTGGATCCCCAGGGGTTGATTATTGCTCACCTGGCTTTGAGTTTTCTCCCCCCAGGATTGGCTTTGTCCATCTAACCATATGTTTAATCATATCCATGAAAATGACAGGGAACATTTATTGCTACGCTCAAAAGCTTTGGTTTTCACACAGAGAAAATCTCTCACTTCATTATTGCTCTTCTTGGAGAGTCTTAATGTGCTTTGCAATGAATTGAGAGTCATGGTGTATTTGCATGGCTGGAAAGGATTATTACCTCTGTTTTCCAGATGACAAACTTTGGCACAGAGAAGTTAAGTAGCCACTACAAGGGATCCCAGCAGCAGCCACAAACAAGACCCAAAATGGTCATCATGAACTCTGCTTCCTAAAAGTTCCCAGGAAAATATTTCTAAAGATCACACTCTCTGAAGTAAATAAATTAATATGTGACAGATACAGCTTTGAGAGGCACAACAGAAGAACAGTTGCTCACAAGGAATGAGAAACACTGATGTCAGTTGTCAGCTTTTGTTGTTCCCACCCACAGCTTGGTACAACTCCAGGGTGTTTGCTGATATGATGTTTATCAAGCACCAGCATCAAGGAATTCAAATTATTGAGAGGAAAGTAAAAAATGGAGTAAATAAATAAACAGTGAGAGGATGAGAAGCTCCCTCTGATGTAATCACCAGGTTCTAGGAAGGATTTGTAGGAGCACACTAAATTTTATAGAAGTCAAAACTCTGAAGTCCAGTCACACTATTGTCCGCATCCTGCTTTTTTTTTGGTTTTTTTTTTTTTTTTTCTCCTACATAAAAGCAAAGTTTAGTCACCATCCTGTCAACAAAGCTGAATTTAACAATTTCATGTAGGAACATCTTACACATGATCTCATGTGGGAATCAGGGTTCATACAGCCCATACAAAAACAGAAGGGAGGCAAACTCTCCTACTGGGGTTTGATTATGAATGGTGTCTCACTGTCCACAAAGACCTCCAGGTCACTTTTCCACTGTTCTACTTCTCCAAACTTCCCTTGATGAGACTATTACACCAAAAAGGAGCCTTGATGTTTCTGGGAAGGCAAACCTGGATGCAAACCCCTTGGAGGCCTCTGCCAGCTCTTCAGCTCTGCTGTGCCCTCCCAAGCCACCCAGGGAGAAGGGGCTGAGGGTCAGGCATCACTTACCATCACCTTGTGCCTCCCAATGAGGTTTGGGGACTCACAGAGGAGCTGCACGTCTGACACTGTCACTGCACAGGGCTTCTCCCCCACCAGCACGGTGTAGTTCAGCCTGGCATTGCCTCCTGCCACCGGTGGGATCAGATTCCTGCCCTGCACAGAAAGGAACATCACACCCCAAAATAACCAAATAAACGTCAGGAAAGAGCTTTCTTTCCCCCTCTGGTTCATTCCTGGGATACAGGTGTTGATATTGCATTTGATAGGATCACTGAGACTGCTCCAGGCCAGGTTGGATGGATGGGGCTTGGAGCAGCCTGCTCTAATGGAAAGTGTCCCTGCCCACGGCAGGGGGTTGGAATGAGATCCTTATATTTAAGGTCCCTTCCAAGCTAAATATGATTCTATTATGACATTTGTAGTTCGCCATTTGCTCACACAGAGAGGAAAAGCCAATTTGGAAACTCACGCAGAGAACAGCGTGAGTGGTCACAGACTCAAAGCAGCCACAACGGCCTGTCCTGCTCCTCCCTCTCTGCAGCTGAGTGGGAAATGTTCCCTAAGTCCTGCACAATAAAGCCCTCACTAAACATAGGCAGGCAAGCAAGTCAGACCCCTTTCCAAACATGCAAAAAGCATCAGCAGGTGAAATAACTTCTTTGCATATTCACCATGTAAAAATAGTGATACAGAAATGCTGCATCAAAAAATTCCTTCTCTGTGTTGCTGTGAAGTTTACAGAAATTGCAAGGGACTGGTTTGGGTTAAAACAGGGGTGAGAGGAAGGTCTTGAATGAACAAGAAGTGAAACAGAGTTGGGTATTTCGCTGTCAGCCACATTGCAAAGGTAGATGTTCTCTGGTGAACAGCAGTGGGTACAAATTTAAGCTGCACACAGGAGTTTATAAATTTTAGTTATGGGTGTGGGCAGTGCTTGGTGTTTGCTGATGGTGACTCTGACATGGTTCTGCAAGAGGCAAGGAATGGAGGAAATTTTTGGTGTGATGATTTATGGGGTTGCTGGCAGGCACAGAGAGGCAAGAGGCAGAATTTCAGTCCAGTCCTTGGTCCCCCCATCTCACCTTCAGGATGATGGGACTTCCAGGCTTCAGCTCCAGGATCCCTGAGGGGTTGAAAACCTCAAAGATGGGGTTGGGGTAGTAGGTGAAGTTGGTTTTGTTGAGGATCAGCAGGGACTGCACATTGTCAAGGATGAAGCCAAACTCCTCCGGACGCTCGGCGAGCTCAGACTGGTGATTGGGGTCCACAGCCAGAGCTGGGGCCTGGCAGGTCATCTCTGTGCTGTTCTGCACCTCACAGTTCTGGGGAAAAGATCCAAAACAAAGAGTGTTTATGGAAATACGGACCCTAGCAGGTCATCTCTGTTCTGCACCTCACAGTTCTGGGGAAAAGACCCAAAACAAGGAGTGTTTATGGGAATTATCCCCATCCTTCCTGGTGGGCAGATGGCTCTCATGGAAAGGGAGGAGCAGACTCCCATGGGTTATTCTTATTCCCCATCACACAGTCAAGGCTGGGAAGGGATTAGGAAAGCCTTGCTAGGGCAGGTGTGTGGAGCAGTTTGCACTTCAACAGGGCTTCCTGTGCCTCTTCTGTTGCCAGTGTCAGCATCTTTCCCTGACTTAGTTTCCTTCCAGAAATAGAAGTTTCTTCCCTTATTTTTTGCACAGCACAGATTAGTCAAAACCTCACTACGACCTTGCAATTAGGTCTCACACTCTGGTAGTTTTTCCAAAAGTGTTTGCGCACTGCATGCTCAGTCGTGCTCAGGATTCCAGTTTGGATATCAGGTTACCTGAAATGAATCCCAGCAAGCTGGAGAAGCAAAGACAAAGGTGAAGGTCTCAGAAGACCCTGAAGTTTGGTTCCAGCCCTGCCAAAAACCTTCTTTTTTTGTGTGTGTCCTTCAGGGATGGGGTAATATTTCTGGAAACAAATCATGCCCTCTTTTTTGGGCTGCAATAGGAGATTTCAAGCTCCAGAGCTGTCAGCCAGCCCCTGTCCCCACCGTGGCATGTCCCCTCCCCAGCTCTGCAGTCATACTCACATTGACATGCTCCTTTCCACCATGCTTTGCCCGGATCTGGGGGTTTTGGATGAGGTCCAGGTGAGTTCCCCACACAGCAATGGGAGTGTTGCCACTGGAGAATAAGAAATGGAATTAAAGAATGAACCCAGCTAATGGATGTCAGAACTCACCACACCAGGAATGGGTGATCTGTGTCCCTAAATGTTGGTTGTAAGGTGTCTGACCATGTCTTGCGGTCCAGTAGAGAGGGAAGGAAGAACAAACCAAATAATTTTTCATTCATTCATAAGGGGAGAAATAAGTGAAGGCAAAGGCTTGCTAAAACTGCCATGTCAGGCAGCCTCTGGGTATCAATGCAGGGTGACCCCAGTGTAGAGAATCATGAGTTCTGACTCCATAATTCCAGAAGGTTGAACAATTGCTTTATTAAGCTAGGTTATATTACACTAATAATATATTAAAACTATACTAAAGAGATACTATACTAAAAAAAATACTAAAAAACAACCCGTGACTGTCTCCAGACAGTCACGACACAGCTTTGTCCCAACTGGTCAATCAATCTAAACAACCATCAGCAGAGTCTAATTAACAAATCACTCTCGGTAAACAATCTCCATAACACATTCCACATGTGCCAAACAACAGGAGCAGCAAGTAGAGATTAAGAATTGTTTTCTCTTCTTCTCTGAGCTTCTCACTGCCTTCTCCAGGAAAAATGCTGGGAGAGAGAATTATGTCTCTCTCTGTTCAGAGAATGTGAATACCACATCTGGGTGGTTCTCATTGTCAGAATTCAGTAATCACAAGCCTTGGGGATGAGAAGAGCAGTGGAGATTTAACACAAGGTATTTAAAATGGTCCAGGCTGTATCTCCTATATCACCTCAATCAGTCACAGAATTTTAAAATATCCTGAATTGGAACTCACAGTCATCTAGTCCAGCTCCTGGCCCTGCACAGACATCCCAACATTCCCCCCTGGGCATCCCTGAGAGTGGTGTCCAAACACTCCTGGCAGCCTTGGGACTGTGGCCATTCCCTGGGGAGCTGTTCCAGGGCCCAAGCCAAACAGCCCTCACAGACACAGTCCCATGGAAACAGCTCTTGAGCAGTCTGGGTTGAGGTCTACAGCCCCATATCTAACCTGCTATCAAACCTCACCCTGAACATGGCAATGTCACTTCAGCGAACTCTCTGGTGCCACCAGGGAACCCAGTCCTGCAGCAATTAGAAGAAACTGAGCCCAACTCTTCAGCTTTGGTGTGCATCAGGCACTGGCCTGGATTCCACGTGGTGGCCAGTGGTGGTAGATCAGGATCCAACACAAACAGAGATTCCCAGTTTGTGTTTCTGATTCCCCTTGCTCCAAGGCAAATTTCCTGAGAAAGCCAGCTCCCACAAGCCACAGCCCACAGGTGTTGGAATTTAGGGTACAGGGAATATTTTTTCATTTGTTTTGAGGCGTTTTGATTTTTAGGGAAATATTTGTTTTAATTTTTGTTTGTGGAGAAGGTTTTTAAAACTTTAGGATAGATTAGAATTTATAAGTGTATAAAATAGATAATAGTGTAGTTTGTTATAGGGTGAAAAATTTAGAGTTTTAGGATTTTAGAAGTAGATAGGAGATAAGATAGAAGATTTTAAGTGTTTGAATTTTTTTTATATAGTGTTAGTAGTATAAAGTGATAACAGAGATTCCCAGTTTGTGTTTCTGATTCCCCTTGCTCCAAGGCAAATTTCCTGAGAAAGCCAGCTCCCACAAGCCACAGCCCACAGGTGTTGGAATTTAGGGTACAGGGAATATTTTTTCATTTGTTTTCAGGCGTTTTGATTTTTAGGGAAATATTTAATTTTTGTTTATGGAGAAGGTTTTCAAGACTTTAGGATAGATTTGAATTTATAAGTGTATAAAATAAATAATAGTGTAGTTTGTTATAGGGTGAAAAATTTAGAGTTTTAGGATTTTAGAAGTAGATAGGAGATAAGATAGAAGATTTTAAGTGTTTGAATTTTTTTTATATAGTGTTAGTAGTATAAAGTGATTAGTTGTGAGAAATTGTAGTGTAGAAATTATATAAATAGATAAAAGATTAGTTATTAGTAGAAAGGTAGAAATAAAGTATGTTTTAAGAGTAAATTAGATAAAACAGCTTTAAAAGACCTTAAAACTGTACATCTTATAACAATTTTTCTGTACTTTCTTGCACACTAAGTCTACTACAAACAATGTACCAAACTTCTGATAAGACAAATAAACAACCTCAGACCAAGAAAAGTCTTGTATGTCTCTTAATCCTAACACAGACCTGTTAAAAAAAAGTTTTGCCCCATCAGGGGAGCTTCAAAAGCCCAACAAAAAGCCACCACACACAGGCATCCGCTGGATTTTCTCACTTTTATGGGGAGATGTGGCTGGAGCCCTCCTCACTCCCTGCAGTTGGTGTCACCACAAGGAAAAGCTCTCAGAAACACCCTTCTCTCCTTTCCCCTGCCTCTTCCAGCTGCAGCCAGCAACTCTGGGACTTCAGGGAATGCAGGGGAAGGAGGAAGGAAACTGCAAAGGAACACTCCCAGGCTTCACAGGGCTGGCTCTGAGCACCACATTAAGGAGAAGGGTTCACCACAGGCAGCTCTGGCCATCCCAAATTGAGGCAGTATGGTCGTTGCCCCGTGTGAGGAGATGTGAATCTTGACTCTGTGTTTCAGAAGCCTGATTTGTTATATTATGAGATATATATTATATTAAAATGATGTACTAAAACTATACTAAAAAGAATAGAGAGAAAAGGATTCATCAGAAGGCTGGAAAAGACAGGAATGGCATCAATAACAAAGGCTTGTGACTCTCAGAGAGCCTGAGCCAGCTGACTGTGATTGGCCATTAATTAGAAACAACCAACATGCACCAATCACAGGTGCACCTGTTGGCAAACAATGTCCAGACCACACTCCACAGCCATCAGATAGTTAATTGTTTGCATTTCTTTTCTGAGGCTTCTCAGCTAGAATAGGAGGAGAATCCTAGCAAAGGATTTTTTCATAAAATATCATGGCTACAAAGCAGCTCTGATCTGTCAGGGTGAGCTCTGCTGTCACAGTGAAGTGGGGACAGAGTGACCCAGGGCTGAAAGGAGAAGAGCTGTCCAAGAAAGCAAAACCTTCACCTGTCAGGGCTCACACAGCCAGGACAGGAGGAAGAATTGCCATCAGCACACAGCCCCATCTCTGAGGGTTTCCCAGAGCGAGGAGTGCTCTCAGCAGTTTCAGCAGCTGCCTCTATAACTCCCTTTGGAAACTGTGCAGGATGCAGTTTATTTCCTGCTGGGAAGGGGAGGAAATCAATGGGGTTGTGAAAAGAAAGCTCAGAATCCCTTTCCTGCCTGCAGGTATAGCTGCACGTGCAGGAAAGGTGAGGCGCGTGCATTATAAATGAGAAAGCACCAGAGAATAAACACCCTGGGAGGAAGAAGGCAGCAAATCCCCCCTGTTTCTGACCTTTGTTTTCAGTGTTCCTGATTTATCTTCCATTATTAATCAGCTGGGGAGGCAGGAGTGAATGCAAAGATGCACAGAAGAGCTGCCAGGTTTGGGTGAGCTCTGCTCCAGCCCCTCCAGTGGCGCCCACACTGATGAACCAAAGAGCTTCTGGGTTTTCCATCTGGGGCTTTTAAAAGCCCCAAATGGAAAATGAAAATCCAAACCAAAGAGTTTCTGGCAGAACCAAAGGTTTCTGCCAACCCCAGACAGAGTTGGCACAACCACATCTTGCAGCTTCTCTGGGAGGCTCCTCATGGACTTTCCCTCAAGGCCTGGACTGGTCCAAGGTTAGGGCAATATTTGACCCTGAGTTTTGCAGAGTGTCTCAAGTTTTTTTCTCTCTGAAATATCAATTATAACGGGAAATTTCTAATGGGAAATTTTACAGGGCAAATGCACATTTTGTTGTTTCCATAAGATCTGGATGAGTTTTTTTGAATGCACAAGGGATCCTGATGAAGTCACACATCTTAGAAGAGACCTGCTTTAGAGAAAAAACTATCCTCTCTCCAAAATTCAGCTTCCCTGTAAAGATTCCTGACATTATCCAGAGAGAATTCTTCAAAACCCAGAAGTGTATAAACCAAATTGTTCTTTCTCCACTGTCCTGGATCTTCTCAATTTTGGCTGTGAGCCTTTATATTAATCATAAAAATATAATTTTATTGCTATTATTATGTCATTTAATAATAAAATCATTACTAATATAATTAATCTCTGCAGATTCAAACCAGAAGGGATTTTATATCTTTACTTGGCTGAAAGTTCTACGTGTTGCACAAAAATCCGATGTGTGAACACACCTACAGGTATGTGTGTCTATATAAAGACAAATCCTTTTATTTAATCAACCAAATCTGTGCACACAGTTTTAAACCCACCCATTTTTAAAAATCCTCTGTTTGGGTTGGAATCTGAGCTTGCAGGCTCAGACCACAGCTAATAAATGCAGCCACAGCACCTGACCAGAGAGACGGAAAGAAAAAAGGTAAAGCAGTTTTTTGTTTGCTGAAGACACAAAATCACCCTCAAACCCTCTCTGGTTCGAAAATAAAGGAAAGAAAACTGTTTCTTGCCTTGAAAATCACCAGCCAGTGGTATTTGTGCCTGCATCTGGATGCTCAGCCAGGTGGGAGCAGAGCCTGGAGACCTGCTGCTGCCCAACAAAATAACAGAAGTGCCAAAAGCCCTCAGAATTTAACAGTTTATTGCCCCAAAAGACCCTGAGTATCATTTTCTGCCTGCAGACTCAGGTAATTGCTGGATGTAACTCAAATCAAACCCAGATCAAAAGCATTAATGGAGCTTCATAAAATTTTATTTACTTGCCAGCCCAGTGTGACCCTTTTTTTTTTTTTTTTTTTGGCTATTGAAATAAATTAGCAGTAATCTTTTCTTTATTGTTTTGAAAAATAAGGGTTTTAAGCCAGGCCTGGTGCATTCATCCACTGGTTTTGCAAAGCTGGTTTAGAGGCAATCTTCTCTCCCTGGGAACAGCTCAGCCCCACAGTTATAGCACCTAAAACTGTCCCTGACACCCCAAACCCCTGTGGTAATCCTGGATATTCCATCTTCTCTCTCCAGGGTTGTGCACCTTTGGAGTGACTCAAAGTGCTTAAGCAGGAGGATGAAATTGGGAAGGTCTGGTAAAAAATGCTCAAGTTGGTGCTTCCTGATTTCAGATGAAGAAAGCAAAGGGGAGAGAGATTGTAACCCAAAATGCTCCATCCCTGGAAATGCTCCAATCATCCCTGGAATTGTTCAAAAGCTGTGTGGATGGGGGACACATTTTGGTGGTGAACATGTCAGTGCTGGGTAAAGAATTGGAGAATCTCAGAGGTCTTTTCCAGCCTTAATAATTCCATGAGTGACGAGACATGTGCAGTCCCTGCTGTCCATCCCAGCCTGTCAGTGCTGGGTAAAGAATTGGAGACAATTATCTCAGAGGTCTTTTCCAGCCTTAATAATTCCATGAGTGACGAGACATGTGCAGTCCCTGCCGTCCATCCCAGCAGCTACACACCCCACAAATCATCTAGCACCCCCTAAACAAACACCTCAGCCTTATTTCCATTTTTATGGGATTTGGGATGGGAGATTCCATCCATCCAGCCGTGGGACACAGAGTCCCTGCACCTCCAGGCTTTGCTAACCCACCTGAGGCATCTCCTTGGCTGCTCCTTCACCTCTGCCTGGCAGCTTCAGCAGGGAAACCAAGGAGCAAGCAGCTGTGGAGAACTCCTCACCTCCCAGCCACACCTGAGGCCAGAGAGGAAGAAGAGGAGGAAGAAGAAGGTCCCTGTGCTGCAGCTTTCCAGGTGATTTTCAGGAATCCACTCTCCTAGCCTGTCAATCTTGCACCTTTTAAGCAGCACTGAACTCGCTCTATAAGGGAGTAAAGTGATTTCTCATTTCACTGATAACCTGGACTCTGAGTGGAAATAAAAGCCCCAAATGGAAAATCCTGACATTAAAGCTCCAAGCCCAATGTGCGAAGACTCAATCCGGCTAAATCAGTAAATTCCCTCACAGTAATTAAAGGGACTAATTGATTTGTGAAAACATCTTTGGGATGGGAGCTGAAATGGGGGGATTTACAAGACCTGCTCCTAATCCCCAGGGACTCCAATCAATCCAGTTTGACAGGGAAGCAGAGAGCTGCCATGGATGAATGAGGGGAGACGAAGATTCCTTATTTTGTATCTTTTCAAGGAAATACCAGTGCATTTAATGACCAATTTCTCCCTTCCTGAGGCCATTTCTCCAGGCTTCTGAGAGTTTGGGTATCACTTTGATGCTTTCCACAACCAGGGCAAACGCTGCTCTCAGGCACCTTCATCTGAACCCTGTGAATTCACCAAAGCAGCATCAAGGGGGTGAAGAGAAAAAGGGATCCCTAACGAGGAGAAAGGCTCTTGGATAGGGCAGGGAGCAGGGCTCCCATTGTGTTTCATCTCAGGACAGAGCCCTGGGGCTTTCAGGCACCGTGGCCAAGCAGGCAGTGCTTAGTCCTGAGGCATCAAGTCCATGAGGGCTGTGGGAAATGTGGGAATTTCAAGTCCATTAGGGCTGTGGGAATTGTAGGAATTTCAAGTCCATGAAGGCTATGAAAAATGTAGAAATTTCAAGTCCATGAAGGCTGTGAGTAATATAGGAATTTCAAGTCCATGAAGGCTGTGGGAAAGGTAGGAATTGCAGCTTGCAAACGGTGAGAAAATTAAATGGTTCATGGCTTAAATATCACTAATATCATGGAAGGCTTTTGCCCACTGTAGCAAACTGCAAAGAAGCAGCTGCTCGTCTGTGATTACCGAAGCCACCCCTCCCCAAATACACCTACAAACAGAATTTGGAGTTTGGAGGGGATTTGGGATGAGATAAATGTGATACTGTTGTCCAGTCCTCCCAGGCCTAGGGAGAAGAATGTGATTCTAGAAGAGACATTGGGATGTCTGGTGGCTCAAACACTCAGGAGAAGCTGCCATGGGCAAAGCACCCACCCAGGTGCCAGGGGCAAGTACAGCCCAGCTCAGGCTGCAGCTGGTGTTGGACCAGATACGGAAAGAGGTGAAACCTGGGAGGTGGGAACTTTGTCCTTATCAAGTGTGATGCCTTGGAAAAGCTGACCTAGAACAGAGGCTGGACAAAATTACAGAATAAAGCAGGGATTGATTCAAAGGATCTCCTGCATGTGCCCAGGGCAGTGCTGGGACAATCACACAGAGCCCCTGGAGGTGCTCACTCTGCTGCTGGGCCATGATGGGACATCATGGAGACAGCTGGGCTGGTGCAAGAGGCAGCTGTGTCGACTTAGAAGGTGTCAAAAACTTGTGAACCACCACATTCCATCATCCAGATGTCCCTGATCCACAGCTTTCCATCATCCAGTGGGAAACTCCCCGCTGGGTGTTCCCACCTGAGTATAAACCCAACAGAGGTTGTGTTCTGGGGATTTTGCTCATAATTTCTTTGGGATGTCCCCTGTCATCTGATGGATCCAGTCTGTGACCATCACTTCAACCAACAGGCAGAGAAATTGCAATGACCAAGTTTTGTGATGCCTATGAGTGGTGCAGTCTTTCTACTCTCATCCTTTCCTTTTATTTCTTACCCATTTTCTTATGCAATATTTTTAGGCTTTTTGTGTTTTCATATTACTAGAGATAATAACAACCAAAATGGCTGTGAAGCTGCTTTCCCCTAAAACCAAATTGTTCTAAAAAACCCTATATATATATATATTTACATATATATATTTACAAACACTGATGATTCAGTGTCACCTCACTCTAATCCACCCTGAGGATTTATTGGCTCCGGAAAGTATCTCTGCACAAATTCTTGGTGGATACAATGCTTGGAAATCAGTTTTCTACACCAAGGACCAAAGTTATGAGGGCAGTGCTCCTTTAAAAAAAACCTTTAAAAAACCATGGAAGTTGGGAGAAGGGTTTTCCTGGGATACTCACCTGAAGATGCTCCACTCAGGCTCGATCCTCAGGATGGTGGGATCCTCTACATATTCATAGTGCAGCTCCTGATGGATCTTGGCTTTGTCCACTCTCACGGACACCTTCACCTTCTCAAAGCCTTCATAGGAGGCCGTGGTGTTACAGACAATGTGCTTGGTGGATCTCCTGGGAGGAGGACAAAGGAAATGTGAACCAGGTGCTACCAGCAGCAAAATGGTGCCAAAAAGAGCCCAACTATTTATTCATATGTTCTGTTGCCCAAACCTATGCACTGAAGATGTGGAACTCAGTGTGAGCCATTTGTGTTCCTGTAGCAGTCTCTGGGGAAGTGGCATTGCCTTTTCACTGGTTTAAATAAAACCACAAGAGCCCTCATCTCTCAGGACTCAGAGTAAAATCTGAACCCCAAGGGCAGCCCAAACCAGGCCTCTCTCCAGAAGTATTTCTCTGTGATTAAATATTTGATGGATGTTTCCTTCCTGCCTGCAGACATGTGCAGCAGCAGCTCGTAAAAGGGGTGTTTGCACCTCAGCTTTGCAGTCTGGGATCATAAAGTTTACTTTGCATTAGGACTGTAAGTCTTGTTTAAGTGCAGTTTGCAGCATGCCTGGGACCTCTGAAAGTGCTAATATAGTGGGAACATTTTATGATTAAAGAGGATTCTGCATAAACCTTTCCTTTTTGGCAGGGCTCAAACGCAGCTCCAGGTCTGCATTCCTTTCAAAATGGATCAAAATCTGGGCACCAAACATTCTCAGACTTCTCAGTCCCATGATTTGTGATGCAGCCTCACCTTATACCCCTAAAATGGGGGTGTAAGTCGCCTCCAATGACTGCACCCTCCAGGTGCCCTTTAAATTCCCCCAAAAGAGAGTGCTCAATCCCTCCTGAAATTCCCCAGTCTTCAGTGAGCATCTCCAAGCAGCTGTGGCTCCCACTTGGCATTTCAAATCACAGCCTGTGACTTCACCCTGCTGAATTTTGGATGCTGGATTGCTCCACAGTCATGACAGGCTGCTAAAGAGGATCCCCACAGCCAGGAGAGGGAAGGGCATTGCCCCAGGGCAGTGCTCCCAGGTCTCCTGTGAATGAGCTTTTCCTCTGCCAAGGACATATTTGGGAGAAATGTGCCAACTTCATCTTCAGCCCCCATCTCCACTGGCAGCAAAATGTGTTGCTCTGGGTAGTTTGGAGCTGCAGGAGCCCCTGGGAATGGGATTCAGACTCATTCTCACAGGGATCAGGGAACATCCAGCAGGTAACAGTGACATTAAGCCTCTCTGAAGCGCCATTGAGCAGGAGCCAACACAGAGCTGAAATGTTGCAAATCATCCATTTCTTAGCACTACAGGACTATTCTGGGATAAAAGGGAGGTGGTTTAGTACTTCGAACTGATGTTGTCAGATTTTCTTTGTCACCTCTACTAAAGCAGGGACATGAAAATGAATCTTTTAAACGACGCACTCCCAGAGCAAGTAGCAGAGCGCAGGACCGTGGAGAATTGTACTGAAATCTGACAAGAGGCCACGGGAAAAAGCACATCAAATACCAGGGAAAACAATGAAATAAATCCTATTTTCTCTCCCCAAAACTTGCCCAGCAAGGCTGTGCATGGTGCAGAATGCACAAGTCCTGTTGCAGCATAGATGTGGCCACGAGCAAAGGAGGCACTTGAGGGACAAGGTGTCAGAGCTGCAGGAGAAGTTTCCTGACTTTAACTGGCATTTAATCTTTCACACTCAGGCATGAGCAGCAGGGAGGGCTCATCTGTACCTGTAGAAGAGGCAGGGTTGTCTCCCAAAGGTCACAATGACATTGCTGCCAGCATTCAGGTTGTTGCCTGTGATTGTCACCTGGGTGCCACCCGACACTGGTCCTCGCTTCGGCTTCAGGTCAGAGAGGGTCAGAGTCTGTGGAGGCAAAGGGAGGTGTTGGAGACACAGCAGAGGGGCCTTCCCCCTCCTGTTAGTGCTGGAGAGAGGGAGGCACCCCCAAGGATTAATCAAGAAGCTGGCCGCATCTGGCTGATAAAGGAGCCTGGGGTGACACCAGACCTGTCAGAGACCCTTTGCTTGAATGCCAGGTTTGGTGGGATGAGTTCAGATCCAACCCCAGTCTGTTCTCACTCCAAAATGAGATCTGCCCTTGTACCCACTCAGAAATATTCCTACAAAGACAGGTCCATGCCTGGAGCACCTTGGGTCACAGCCTCTCATCTCCACTGCTTGTTTGGCACAGCCCAGGGGTCTCTTTGCTGTCACACACCACCAGCTCTGCAGGATAACTCAGGCAGTGAACTGGTTTGGTTGCATCTTAATGGGGAATCTCCACCTCCCAACTGTGGAACTCGCAAGTGATGAAAATTGTTTGGTTTTGAGAAGATCACTCAACTTCATTGATTCTCAGAATCACAGGATAGTTTGGGTGGGAGGGGACCTTGAAGATCAGCCAGTCCTACCCCAGCCATGGGCAGGGACACCTTCCACTGTCCCAGGTTGCTCCAAGCCCTGTCCAGCCTGGCCTTGGGCACTGCCAGGGATGAGGCACAGCTTCTTTGGCCTCCCCACCCTCACAGGGAACAATTCCTTCCCAATATTCCTCTAACCTGGCCCTCTGGCAGTGGGAACCCATTCCCCCTTGGATGGAGGAGAGCTGTGGCTCAGTAGAACATCTGAGTTTGCTCTTGCCTCTCCCACAGAGGATCCCAGAATCACTGAGGGTGGGAAAGACCTCCAAGGTCAAAGAGTCCAACCTGTGCCCCATCCCCACCTTGACAACCAGAACAGAGCTCATCCAGCTGTTCTTTGAACATGTCTGGGGATGGGATTCCATCAGCTCCTGCTTCAGTTCCAATGTTCAACAACCCTCTCCATGAAGAAATTCCTGCTGATGTCTAGCCTGGACCTGTCCTTGTGCAAAATTCCCACACATGACCCTAAATCTTTCTCTTATCTGACTTGGATTTGACACAGCCTCGAGCTGTCCTGCACTGACACGTGGTGGTGGTGCTTCTCTGAAATGCCACAGCCACAGAAGCAGCACTTGAACACCTTTTCCCTTTTCCTGCTGATTTTCTGAGCCTCTTTTCCCAGCCTAACACAGCGTTGTGTTAATATATAAAAAAGGGGCACATTTCCTTTAGAGGCCCCAAATCTCAAAACTCTTTTTCTTACCTTGCTACCCTCCCTTCTTCCCCAAATCAAGATAAAATACTCGCGCTCTGAAGGCACAGATCACCCTGTTACCACAATGCAGAGAGGAGACATCAATATTCAGGGAGAAATTTGGTGTTACAGTTTATTCTTTCATTTGCATTTTAATAGAAAAACTTTCCATTCAGTCCCAAGTGAAAAGCTACTATATGCATTTAAATGAAGATTATTTCTTTCCCCCTCTCTTTAAGAATGATGACACAAGTGCTTGAAGCTCTCAGCTCCTCTGAGCGAGCAGGTACATCACGCAGTCACCTTATTGAGCTTTGGAGACCATTAATCCATGTTTATAAAACCACCTGACACACACCACAGCTCCCACTCTCACACACACAGAGCCACCTCTGTTCCCAGGCCCCCCTGGTTTAATCATTTTGAAAAACAGCGGCAACATTTCCATTTTTCCATTTTGCTCCTATTCTAAATGCAGCTCTTGGAGGAAGGGGAGAACATGAAAACCAGACTTACAGCTCTGTAAAAGGAGCTGTTGTCAGAGCTGGGCACTTTCTGTGTTTAAACCTGTCTGGTTTTCACCTGATGGCTTGCAAGCTGGTTTTATACCTAGAATCACGGAATTTTTGAGGTTGGAAAAGACCCCTAAGATCAGCAAGTCCAGGCATTAACCCAGCACTGGCAAGGCCACAACTAAAGCACCTCTCTAAGCACCTTGAACACTTCCAGGGACAATGATTCCACCACTTCCATGGGCAGCCTGTGCCAGTGTTTGGCAACCTTTTCATCAAGAAAAATCCCCCCTGAGCTCCCCTGGCCCAGCCTGAGGCCATTCCCTCTCCTCCTGTCCCTGTTCCCTGGAGCACTTTCCATGGGCAGCCTGTGCCAGTGCTTGGCAACCTTTTCATCAAGAAATTTTCACAAAAATCCCCCCTGAGCTCCCCTGGCCCAGGCTGAGGCCGTTCCCTCTCCTCCTGTCCCTGTTCCCTGGAGCACAGCCCGACCCCCCCGGCTGTCCCCTCCTGGCAGGGACTTGTGCAGAGCCACAAGGGCCCCCCTGAGCCTCCTTTGCTCCAGGCTCAGCCCCTTCCCAGCTCCCTCAGCCTCTCCTGGGGCTCCAGACCCTTTCCCCAGCTCTGTTCCCTTCCCTGAGGGAAGGGAAATCCTTCCCTGGATCCAGGATTTGAGGTGGGGTCTCAGCAGTGCCCAGCACAGTGGGGTGGGCACTGCCCTGGTCCTGCTGGCCACACTATTCCTGATACAATCCAGGTTCCATTGGCTTCTTGGCCACCTGGGCACTCCTGGCCTCATCTTCAGCCACTGTTGACCAGGTCCTTTTCCACTGGGCAGCATTCCAGCCATTCTCCAAGCCTGGAGTGTGATTTTCTGGGAATACTCTCTACCATTCTCCTTTAATGGGATAAAAACTGCAGGAAGAGCATGGAAATTCAAAGGATGCACTTCAGTACTGCTACTTTACATTTTGGGTACCACCTCAAGCTCTGATGGCAGCTCCCTTAGTGATGGACACCCCCAGCAGTACAAATTCCTGCTACCTTGATGGCTGATGCTGGGAGGTGAGCTCCCAGCTGGCAGAAAATGGGTTGGGAATGTCCAGCCTGGTGCCCAAAGCCCACACAGCAGCGCTGCAGCAGTATCTGATTCAAAAATCATAGCGGAACATCTGAGTCAAAGACCCAAAAGACCTTTGTCCCACCCCTGGGTGGGTTCCCTGCCCTCTCCTTGGGGTAGATAAAGCAGCCATGGCCTTTTGAGGATCCTCACAGGCCACAGCCACACCAGGAAAGCTCCTTGGCAAAGCCCTGCTGTGCCTGGAGCCAGTCTTACAAATGGGTTTGTAGCTCAGCTTTCAAAGCTGTGATCAACCTCTAATTATTCACAGTGGCCTTCCTGAATATTGCACAGCACATTCACAGCAAAACTCCAGATTATTCACCATTTCCTCACTGGTGGAAGGTGGTGGAAAATGCACAGAGGGTCTTGTGGATCAGTGATAGGCTGGAGAGTGACAATGAGGGAAAGAGGACAAGAAATTTTCTACATTTTCTAGGATTTTACCTATTTTCCTCAGCTCCCCAACCCTTTGTTTCCTCCAGCATCTCCTGCACACAGGTTTTCCACAGAGAAGCAGCATCAGAGCTGGGTCTAAACTGCCCCCCATGGAGCTTGTCATGACCTTGGTTCCCATTCCACTCCTCCTGGGAACACAGGAAGAGCAAGATGTGACTCAAACACAGCTTGTGCACCTGTGTTTTCTTTCTAGAGGTTCCACAGTAGCAGCAAGAGGGGAAAAGATGAAAGGGATGGATGGGAAATGCTCCCCAAAACAAGGATTTTAGGAGCAGACTCAGAAGAAATGTGGAGCAGCCCACAACACCTGCACTGAGACACAATATTTTCATCTAACGCCAGAATAAAGGTAAACTTTCTTCAGCACCCAAATTGAGAATGTAATATTTTTTTAATTGAAAGACTGGGGCAATAATCACAGCAAGAAAATGAAGAACTGCAAAAAAAAAATCATTTAGATCATCATAAATTTCATTTCAGCTTTGTTTCCCTCTTGGCTTATTGTACTTTCTAATGCAATTTGCAGGTTTTGATCACAGATGAGTTTAAAACAAACGAGCAGCTATTTGAATTTAAAAGTTCTGGTTAGAAAGGTGAAGAAGAACCATTCTGGCATCTCTGAACTAAGCCACCTCTTTCTTAAAACACTGCAATTAAATACTCTGTTGAGTCCAAACCATCATCTCTTCAAATTCTTGCAAGACAGGGAAAGGCTGAACCAACTGGCCAACTTTGACCAAGTTTTCCTTCAAGCCTCTCGAAAACCAATTTTCCAGAAGATTTGCTATGAGTCAAGAAGTGACATTTATCTCCCAGGTGATGTCCTTCCTTGGTTTTCAAACATCTTCTTTCCCTTCAAGCTGCCACGCACCGCCGCAGGATGCCAAGGCACGTTGAGATTCCTGCAACAGCATCTCTGCCCTCTGGCAGAAAAATCTGAGGAAGCCAAAAAAACACAGCTCCCACTGTGAAAGCACCGGACACGGGAGAGAGAATATGATGGGCAGGCTGGAGAGTGTCTGTATTTTGGGGTTTTTTGTGTTTTTTTTTTTTTTTGTCTAGCACAAAGGCATCGAGGTGTTCAGCAGAGAAAACCCCGGTGGCTTCGTGCTCGTGCCCTGGCAGCCGGGAAGGTGGCAAGCAAGGAGGGAAAAGCTGTCACAGATGGACACGGATGATCAAAACCAGACAGTAATTCCAGGAGTAGCAAAGGTGACACGTTGAAGTGTAATGTCCTGGAAAGAGCCCTTCTGGCTGCCTGGTAGGGGATTTCTCTCAAGGTGTTTCTGTGCCCCCGCCACCGCAACACCTGAGTGACATCGGGAAATGCAGGGAACAGAGAAACTTCTGTAGCTCGAGGGGGGAATCCAAGACATTTGCATTCATTACAAGTTCCCTTTACCATAAAGAAATGCTCAGGCATGTGAATAATTTCAGAGGAGACCCATTCTCTTGCAAGAGTCGAGAGCTTTTGATGGGAACAAAGGGACCCTCTCATCTCAAACCTGCACAGATCTGAACAGATCAAGGCCAGACAATGCTTACATGTCCCCAGCAAGGGGCCTTAGAGGAATAATCAGGTCTCTTGGACAAGGAACATCATCAGAAGGGAGGAAAAAAGCACAGGTTGAGTGTACAACATGTGTTTGCACTTGAACTGAAGCTGAAGCTTGCAGGTGTCTCTTGTTTCATCACGGAGCATCCAAAACCAGCACTGAGCCCCAGTCACATCCTGCAGCTCACTAGCAGCCTGAGCTGGATCTGTCCTGATGCCAGTGCTCCTGGTGTGGATGGGATGAATAAACACCTGGGGGAATCCAAGAGGGAGGAGAAAGAAACCCAACCAAGACCATCACACTCAGGCTGCTGAAGATCCCGGGGTTGTAATGAGGAGTGACAGCCCCCAAGTTTCTTCTGGACAACACTGGTGGCTCCAGCCAAAGGGGTGTTGGTAGCAGGAGCATCACACCCAAAAAAAAAAAAAAAAGATACTAGGGAAAATTTTCCCTTTTTTATCTCTTGTTTTTTTCTTTCCTGTACAGCACTTTTAACTATTAATGAGAATTTTCTGTATTAATTTGGACCTCAGCTGCATGGAACTGTAACTGGACTAATAACCTGGACTATTATTAGGTTGTTAAAACTTTAATTAGACCAGCTATTTTTGCTGGGAACAAGATGTTGGAAGGAAATGGAATGAACAATTTGGTGCACCGGAACGGCAGCGAAGAGCTCGGAGCCTCAACGTGGTGAAGGACAACGGACAGAGGGAGCAAAGAGCAGCAAGGCCAAGGAGTTCAGGGCCAAGGAGAACTTTTTCAGGAACTTACCATGAAGTAGTAGAGCTGAGAAGACCTGGCCATGAACTCTGGCTTGCACTCGGCCACGCAGATTTCCACGAATCCGGCGTGCTGGCTGGGCTTGGCCTCCCCCATCTCACACACGATCCTGAGGGGAAAATACCAACCAGGAGCAGAGTTTGAGGGGTGGTTTGGTGGTGCTGCTAAGATGGAGTTGCAGCTAAGAGCCCACAGTGCAGGGGAATGGACTGAAAATTAATCTACCCTCTTCTGTCCCATCCAGAATCCAATTTGTGGATTAAGTCATCCTTTAGAAAGTGGTGGCTTCTAGCTGGGACATGTGCTGAGGTGGTGTAAATCCACTTAAATACACAGAGAAATGTTGGGCTGAGGTCTGGCTCCATCCCTCTCGGCTCCAGCCTGGCATGGTGGAGGCAGCTCTAAGGTTTAATGATCACTCCTGCATTTAGCAAGAGGTTTTTCAGGATTGCTGCCTTCCAAACTGGAATTGAACACTTTGGGGTGACTGTTTGGTGAAAACCAGGATAATTTCAGGGCATTTGCCACGAGGATCACCTAAATATGCAATCCAAACACAGTAATAACTGCACTATTAAATAAATGGATTATCCCGAGCTGTTCATGAGGAATGACCTCTTCCACCACTCAGTTCCCAGGTCGGATGGATTCCTTGGAAGGCCCTGCAGGAAGGAATGTCACTGGGTATGCTGTGGCCTTTGCTCTGCCACACACCCCACTTACTGCTCTGCTGGGATGTACCCTTCCACCAGGGGCTTGCACTCCACGCCGGCCACTTTGACGTGGGACGCGATATCCTGGAATTCCAGCCCCAGGTTCTCCCCACGGATGGTCACTCTGGTCCCTCCCTCACGAGGGCCCGTCACGGGGTTGATCTGGGGAAACAAGCCAAGAGAAAGGAGAACGATGAAACCAGGCACCAGAATCCTCTCAAGTGAAAGAACAGACAACTTCTGGGGATCACTAGGGACACTTATAAATGCTGAACAAACCTACTTCAGATACTCAGAGTATGCAAAATTCTGCTCCAGACCTCATTTACTATCTTTTAACTACTTGCAAAATATCCAGAGGTAAGTAGAACATTTTTTGTAGGGATTTGTGGAGCTGCAGCTGAGCTCTCCTCTTTGTAGATGTGAGCCATGGAAAGGCAGCAGAGGGACACAGTGGAGAGAAATGGGAGAAAGGACAAGACAAGGACATAAAGGGCTGGGCCAGTCACTTGAAATCCTAAATTCCCAGCCCAAAGCACATGGAGGTAATGGTCATGCATCAGAAATTCAGCTGAAAATGTCCACCTGGAAAAAAAACCAGCCAAGCCACAGCAGGAACAGGGTGTTGGGTTAAGAGTGGAGGAGGTGGATGGTGACTGAGACAGCAGCAGCAGCTGCTCTATGCCAACATCTCTTCCTGAAAGAGCTCCAGTTTCCCTCCTGGGAGAGCTGGGGCTGTTGGAAGGGCAGACAAGGAGCATGGACAGATTATTTGTGGAGCCTCTGAGTCTCAGCACAAGAGGAGCAACCATCCCAGCCAAGCTGGGGGCTGCTGGAATGGTGTTTGCATCCCAGCCTGGCCCTGCACCAGACCCTCACAGAGTCTTGCTCCATCCCCCTTGTCCAGATCCAGGTGGGAATCTGCACAGGAACTGTCTCCTGAGCATTGGAACAACACCAGAATCACGGGGCTGGCCCTTAATTATCTCCATTCTGCCCTTCTAATTCCTCACCGTGCCCACTTTGCCATGCCACTGCCCATGGAGAGGGGTTCAAACACTTCCCTTGCAGGGTGTTCCCTGCTGCCTGCTCAGGATGCCATGGCTGCCATCTGCCAGGGCTGGCACAGCTCTCCCTGCCGTGAGCAAAGGGGAATTCCCTGTCTCAGGGCCATTCCCACCTGCTCCTGGCTCTGCCAGGTGAGAATCTGGGGCAGGCAGCCATGCCCTGCTGCTCCCAGCACCCAGCCTGGCACCAGGGTTGGTGTAATTCCCACCCAAAGGGTGATTTTTAGAAGGTCCAACCTTTAATAAAAGGAGGGAGAGCCAGGCGCCCCTAGGGGATATTTAATTTTAGGATATTAACTTTAGGATATTAATTCTAGGTGTTGTGAACTGAGTCCTCAATGAGTGTGACTTATCTCTGACTCTACAGGGAACCAGGAGGTATTTGTGGTGGTTTCCCAGGAAAGAAAAAAGAAAGGGAAAGAATAAAGGGGAAAGGGGAAGGGGAAAGGGAAAGGGAAAGGGAAAGGGAAAGCTGCCTAAAGCACAAGATTTCAAAAAATTCTCGCTGTGACTCAAAAAGCATCAACAGGAAACTTCCTAGAGCACAGCCAACACAGCACCATGGAATCCTTTACTGGGCAATATTTAATTCATGAAGGCCAGCTTCAAAACCCACTTATTTCCTTAAAAAAACACTTATTTCCTTAAATCAGGAGGGCCTGGGATTCTCCCAGGGTCACATGGAAGATTTTTTTAACCCTATTTCACAGCTCTGCCATAGATTCAACCAAGAGGAAGGTGTTGCCAGGTTGTTTTCACAGCAAGAGAGGAGGAGCCTGTTCTATCATAGGTGAAAAACGTGGCACGAGACCTGTCAGTTTTGGAGAGGAAAATCCAGACAGCAAAACAAAAGCTGCCAGGAAGCCTCTGCTTCCTCTGAAAGACCCAGAGCTGCATCCCAATTTCCAGTCTCTGCTCATATCAACTGCTGCTTGTCACTCATAGAGGAGGTTTTTTGTGGCTCAGTGAGTCTCTAAGTCCCTTAATTTCCCCGAGTGGCTCTGTAAATGCCAGAGCTGGTACAGAAATGGGGAGATCAGTGCTGCAGGGGGTGTGAGTGCCCCTACAAGTGTGAGTACACGTGTTCTTCCCTGCAGAGATCCAGCCCTGGCTCCTCTCCAGGCTCTGGATGCTCCCACCCCACAGCTCCAGACCTACCATTAGCTGCAATATATATCCAGTCACTTGAGATTACTTCCATGCTAATGGCTCAGAAAAAGGCCTTCCAAGAGCTACTTAGGATTGCAGCAGGCAGCTGGAATATTTCATGAGTGAGTGTTGCAATGATCTCTTTGAGCTCAGAGAGTTGTTGCAGGAAGTGCCAGCAGAATTTGAAGCACTCTGGAGCTGTAGGGTGGAGAATGAGGGGTTTGCTCTTCAAAATGAGCCTGGAGATGAAGGATTAGGGTTAAAGTATGGCAGGGAAATGTGGGTGAACCTTCAGAACCTCTGCACACCCAGGTCCTTGTGTTTTGGATTTCTGCTTTAGTTGATCATCCATCAGCTGCCCCATACGAAATTCTATCATTGTTTCACAAGATCTGAGAATCTGAAAATATTTTTAAAATGTTTCCCCCAGCTCCAAGTGATTTTCAAGAACTCAAAGCTGAATTTTCAGTTTTATTTAGCTGTCCTTTCTGGCTGTCTGGGTTTGATTTCACAGCTTCAGGTGGTTCAGGTGGGGTCTCAGATAAATCCAAGTAAAGTAGAGACCTTCACCTTGGAAACACCAGAAAGAGCCATAAACACCAGAATAAACTGAACTCCAACAGTTCAATGCAGAGAGAGCTTTGAAAGCTGGTGAATGACAGGGAGATGGATCAAAACACAGAGAAAGGGGTTATTTTCAGTATCATCTGGGAAAAACAGATTCAACCCAGCCTTTGCTCTCCCCAAATGTTCAAGCATAGATATTGGATTAGGGCTCTTCCATAACACCCACTCTTTTTGAATCTGAATCAAATACAACTTTAAAAAGCCTTTCTTGCTTTCTAGGAAAATAACCCACCTAACTATTCCTATTAAAGCACCACTGTGGAGGCTGGATTTTCCTCTTTTGCATTTCCCCATGTTTTCCCTGTTTTATTTCCCTCCTGACTTTTCCCATTTGTAAATCAGGCCCTGGCCACATCGAAAGGGTGCTCATGTTGAGTAAGGCCTGGTGACTGAGAGGTGCTCAAGGCAGGAGGCAGCTGGAAGGGATGGAAACCTCATTTTCAAGGCTCAGGTCTGTCCTGCTGCCTGTCCTGTGACCCTGAAAACGTGTCTGGCATTGTGGCAAAGGCATCCTAAGACAGCAGAAAAAAAAATCCCTTTAGATTTCAGGCCCGACTTGCCTCCCTTGCCTTTTCTCCTTTCTTCTGCTCCTTGTCTTTATGGTCTTCCTATTCTTATTTCCTTTTTGAACCTTTCCTCCAGCTTTTCCTTTGGCCCAGTCAACACGATCAATAGGGAACTCTAACAAACTAAAAAATGGAGTCCTATCTCTGTCTCTACAAGGCCTTTTAAGGATAAACTGTCCAATTACGAAATGACACCTAAATTATTTTTACTTTTAACCCAATACCAAACCACCCATGCCTGCAATGTGGACTTTTTTATCCAATTACACAAAACCACCCAAACCCATGGAGAAGAAGGTGAAGAAGAAGGTGAAGAAGACGGTGAAGAAGAAGGACCAGCCACCACCCTAAAACGTCTAGCTTACTTTATAGATATTACTGTATTCTAAACCCTTAAACTCTAAATTTCCCACCCTCTGATATCACACACTTCTCTTCAAACTGCACACCCACAATCCCAGTTCTGTCATTCCATTTTAGAAGCTTCTCCACAGCCTCAGGTCAATGCAGAGTTCTCCTGGGGGTCAGAGCCTGGCAGCACAGAAAGTCTGGAATTCTCAGTAACCAGGGTTCCAACACTCAAGGTCACCCCAGGTTTTGCTCCTGCCTTTGAAGCCACTGTGGCCTCACATCCCCAGAGTGCCTGAGGCTTTTCCTGACCCAGCAGAACTCAGCCCTGACCTTCCCATCACCAACCCAACCGCAAACCAGGAAAACAAACCAAGGAAAGGGAATCCCCCAGCTTCTCGCAGATCCATGACTTACATCCGTGATCTTGGGGTTGGTGCACTTGCCCTTGGTGCTGGAGAGCTCCAGCCACTGGCTGTCCTGGGCTGGGCAGTGCTGCTTCAGCGTGCACTGGTTCTGTCCCTGGCACCAGCCACACTCGAAGTCGGGGTCGGCTTTCAGGCAGAGTCCGCAGCTGTCCCGCATGGCCCCGCACTTGTACAGGTGAACTGCAGGGACAGCAAAAACACCGGGCCTGAGAGATGCAGGCAGCACAGAGCAGCTGGGGATGGCACTGGGAGAAAGAGGGGAAAGTGTTCTGGGCTGTTCGTGCCAGAGGTAGGACAGCAGCTCTCCAGGGGGGCGAGTAATATGGGGAAAAACATGGAAATCCTTCATGCAATAAAATCAATTTGTTTGTTCATTCTTCATCAAAGGTGTTTTTGGAAGCTGAGAACACAAGGGATAAGGTATGGGAGAGGAAGAGGTATGGGAGCAGAAGGTAAGGTGAGGGATGACAAGCAGGAGGTTGGAGGAAATGATGCCTGGGTCTTGGGATTTCTTTTGGTTAAGCTGACCCTGAGATGTATTAAAAGTCTTTTGTTTCTAACCCAGCTGTCAAAGAAGGAGTCAGAAGTCTTCGGCTCACGTTCTTAAGGTTTATTATTTCTTATTTAAAACATTTTCTGTCTGGCCTGCTGAGGTTTGTTCAGCAGGTCAGTCCAAGGCTTAGTTTTCTATTGGATTTTCTTAAATTTGCTGAGTTGTTCTGCTTGAGATGCTACCAGTGGGGATCTCTGTAGATAATTTAGCAGGTTTGGGTCAGTTTGCCATTTCAGCCTCCCAGCCCAGCCCATGGTGATGCTGGATGTGACAGCAGTGGCATCTTGGTCACCTCTGTGTGGCATTGCTTCCATGTGGTGTCTCTATGGGCACATGTCTAAACTCTCCTCCTGACCAAAAACATAATGATAATATCCAAATTACTCATCTGGGAGAGCCACCAGCTAGTGCTGCTTCCCAGATTTTTTTCCTAGTCATTATTTGCAACATTTTGGCTTGGAATAACCAAAAAAAAAGGCCTGTGCTGAGGAGATGATTCTTGAGTTCATCCCCTGGTCTGTTTTACATTACTGGCACAAACAGTCCTAAAATATGGTTATCATGATTATGAGATTTAATTTGTTCCCACATCACCTAGGATAGCTCAATGCAGCCCAAGAAAAGGATTTACATTTTTGGTGTGGATCACCTCGTGTTAGGGGTGTTCATTTTATAGTAGCACAAAAATAAACAGGACTGGGGCAAGCGTCCAAATTCTGCCCTCCAAGCCCACACTGTTGAAGGTTCTCCCAGTCCATGGCACTCTTTGGGCCCATGGAAATCAGCAGAGTCCTGGAAACACCTTGGCACAGCTTGGAGAGAAGGAGACAGCTTCCGAGCAGAGGCAGTGTGGCGCTTTCAGCACAGGCTGTGCCTGAGTGCCAGGGCTTGGCAGGAGTCTCCAGCCTGTTGTTGAGTGGATTTAACCCTCAAAAGCCACAGTTTTGGGGTTTTGTTGCCGGAACTCTGCCATTCAGAGGGGGAGAAGGGCAGACAGGGCTGTGTCACGGGGAGAAGAGTTGCCTTCTGTGTTGCTCTCCAGGTTGAATGTGGTGTTGGTGGGAACCTCACCCACCACCCCTCAGCGTGAGGGTGGGTGTTTGTCCTAGATTGCCAAATAATGTGTGTTCTATTTGCTACCTGTCAGAGCTGGGGCAGCTCTCTCTGTTCATGGGGCAGTTTTTTCTTTATCTCTCCCACAGCCAATCCTCCCTCCAGGAGATCTCTGCTGTCCATGGCCACTGAGTGTCCCTGCATGGCTGATCAAATTCCAGCATCCCATGGGGAGATGCTCCACCCAGGGCAGGAGCCAAGCATTCCTACCTGGATACAATCTGAGATTCTGGGACATCAGCACAGCCTTTCCACAGGATCTTCAGAGGAACAGCTGCCTCTTCCACTGGATCTTCAGAGGAAAACTCCAGCCTTGTCCAGGATCCCTACTCCAACAGAACCACACCTGCTACTCCAGGAGGGCTGCAGCCACAATTCCAGTTGGATTGCTACCAACACCCTGACCCACAGGGTGTCAGGTTGTGTTCTGACTCTGTCGGTGTAGTTTTGATTTACTGCATTGTTTGTTTTATTTTTATTTTCTTCCCTAATAAAGACCTGTTATTCCTGCTCCCATACCTTTGCCTGAGAGCCCCTATTAATTTAAAGTTTATAACAATTTGGAGGGAGGGAGTTTACATTTTCCATTTCTGGGGAGGCTCCTGCCTTCCTTAGCAGACACCTAGCTTTCCAAACCAGGACAGTGTGGAACTGTGTGACAGCACCATGGGAGAACTTTGTGGGGACAGATTGAGTGGGAGAAGGTGTGGGAAGTGTCCATGACAAGGTAAAGAGAGGGAGGGAGACATTTCTGAGAGGTGATGATGTGGGAAGAAGAGAATCTGCAGGTGTGAGCTGCAAATGCAGGGCAGCCAAGGGGAGGGGTTGCCTGGGGGGAAGGTTCCATGGTGGAAAGACAAGAAGGAAGAAGAAGATGCAGACGAACCATCCATCTCCAGAAACACCCAACCTGCCTCAGGGCTGTGGCTGGATGTGCAGCCCCCTCTGTGAGGGGCACATCAAACCTGTGCCATCAGTGGTGGTTAAACACAGGTGGCTTTCAGATCCTTTTTATCATCATCATAATTTTATTTTGCTCAGAATTCTCCCACTGGAGAGCAGCAGCCTTCCTGCTCCCCTTCTGCCTTCCCCTGCTCATTACTAAATTGCCTCTGAGCAGAGAGCCCGCTCTCCTGGCATGTTAACTTGAAGAGCATCACTGCAGGAGAAATAAAGAGGGGGAGAAAAAGCCTGGAGAGGGAGGGGCGTGAAAAGCAGACACGAGGCTGTGGGGAGAAGCGGGAGGCAGAGACGATGAAGGGAGAGGGAGAGCAACACAAGTGGGAGGGAGAGTCGCGTTTCTCAGGTGGAATGAGAGAATTGGAGGGCTGGGGGGAGGCGCACAAAGCACTCAGAAATTGGTAATTTGCAGAGTGCAGAGAACAAGTGTGCAGCAGCCAGCACGGGGAGACGGTGGCGGCTTTGTTAAGTGCAGGGAGCCAGGGCCCGTTGCTAAGGTTACCGCTTCCAAGGACAAGTTGAAATAACTCTTTACCTTTGTTCTGTGCTGGGTTGTCAATGTTGAAATTCCCGTTCCACACAACTGTCAGCTCCACTGGCAGGCTGTTAATCTCCATCCCTTCATACGAGTACTAAAAGTGGGAGAGGAAAAAACAAAACAAACAAACAAAAAAAAAAAAACCCCAAAGCCAGACTTAGAGAGTGCCTGGAGGTGGGGAGGGGATGGGATGAGGCAAGAGGTGGTGCTGAGCATGGAGAACAAGAGAAATGGAGCTGTCACTCCCCTCCCTAATCAGCAGCACCTGCCAGAATGCTATGGGATGCTCCCAAAGCTGTGGAGCTCCAACCACGCCCATCACAAAAGCCATTTATCCATTAGATGAACATTTATAGAATCCCAGAATGGGGATGGAAGGGACCTTAAAGATCATCCAGTGCCACCCCCTGCCATGAGCAGGGACACCTTCCACTGTCCCACGTTGCTCCAAGCCCTGTCCAGCCTGGCCTGGAGCTCTTCCAGGGATCCAGGGGCAGCCACAGCTGCTCTGGGCAACCAGAGCCTCACAGCCAAGAATTCCTTCCTAATATCTGATCTGAACCTTTTTTCAACTTAGAACCACTCCCTCTTGTCCTTTCAGTCAGAAAAATGTCCCATGATGTGTGTGTTTGCATGTGATGGGCCTTAACTTTGAAATCCATTTTTTGGGTGTTGAGCACAGCTTTGAAAAGTAGTTTTCCAAGCTGGATGCAACTTTGAGGTGTAAATTCCACATTCTGGGTCTTCCATCCAGCTGTGCCTCTGCTGGGTATTCCATAGGTGCTGAGAGGGTAGGAGAGGTTATTTACACTAGGGATGCCTTGAAGAACTCTTGGAAGCTGCGTAAAGTCTCAAAATCAGGGAAAACCCCCGAAAAAGGGGAAAATGGAGCCACTGTGTAATTACAGACCTGTCAGCCTAACTTGGCTTCCCAGAAAGAAAGTACATCAAATTATTAAACAATCAATTTATAAGCACCTGCGAGATGATAAGGTGATAAAAATCAGCCACCACAGATTTGTCAAGAACAAATTGTGTCAACCCAATCTAATTTCCTTTCTGACAGGCTTAATGACTTTGTGGATAAAGGGAAGGCAGCAGATGTGATTTATCCTGATTTCAGGAGAGTGTTTGCTACTATCCTACAGCAGATCCCCATAAACAAACCAGGGAAATATGACCTAAGAAAGGCCACCATAAGGTTTATGCAAAAACCATTAAACAAACAAACAAAAAAAAAAAATCAGATAATTCCATGTCAAGCTGGGAGGATATTTCAAAAGGAATACTGTCCTGAGTCTGGCATTACTCAATATTTTCACTACTGACTTGGATGATTTCATGACACTGTTCTGGAGGGGGGTGTAAGAACCTCCTACAGCAGGGTTAAGAATTCAAAACAAACTTGACAAATTGTAGAACTGGGCCAAAATCAACCAAATGAAATTCAATGCTGGCAAATGGGGACTATTTTTTCAGTAGGAGGAATTGATGCAAACAGCTCTGAAATTGGAGTGGCTGGGCACTGCTGCAGGAGAGGGTCTGGGGACTGCTGGAGACCACGAACAGACTGTAAATCAACAATGCCATATTGCTGCCAAAACCCAAACAATTCTCCTTTGGGGATGAAGCAGATAGAGTTTGTTACTTGTGTAAACCCCAGGAGGCAATCACTTTTCGCTACTTGGATCCAGAAAAGCCACAGCTGGAGCAAGGAGTATCCAGTTTCCAGCAAATGTGTCTTAAAAAGCTGCAAAAAAACTTCTGAGAGAGTTGGACAGATTTAAACAAACTCTTGTCAGGGGCAGTCAAGGCACACAGAGGTGACCCCAAGGAAGGAAATGGAAGCTGCTCTCTGGAGGCCCTCTCCACATGGTGCTGAGAGCTTTTTTCCACCTAGATTTTGATTTATCTCAAGCCAGTTAACCCAGGGTTCACCTTGCTGCCCACCTCCATCAGCAGCTTCCACCCAACTCCTCATCAAAAGGCCAAAGCCTCGTGGTGGGAGAGGAGATGGTTGATGAAAGGACAGAAGGGAGCAAAAAAGAAGGGGAGAAACATTTAGTGTCTGCTACTATTGCTGAGCACAGTGCACAATGGGATTTACCCTCCTAAGAGCAGGGATCTCCCACTGCACTGGGATCTACAGCAGGACAAAGTCCCACTTTGAAAGGAAAATATTTTCCCCACTACAAGGTTAGATATAACTCAGCAAGCTGGTTTGGCTGGGCCAAAAAAGTCACTAAAGAGTCTCCCATCCCTTGAACTCCTGTTGTGGTTATCCACAGAGATGCCAAAGCTCTGAGCTTTGCAGGTAGGTTTTCCTGTATCCATTAATTGCTGTATAATTGGGGAGTAAATGGTAACTGGTGATTTCTGTCCATTACAGCAGAGTGGGAGCTGCTTGCACAGTAATTCCTCTTTGCACAGACTAAACACAATTAGCCATTAATCTGCAAAACGCTGTGATTATGATCCAGTTGTAGGGAATTGATGGGTATTTGTGGTTTCCATGGAGGTAAAGAGCAGCCCAGGTGAGCCAGGTCCATTGCAGTAGACACGCCAGTCTCAATTCAGGATTTGCGTTTTTGTGACACTTTTGGGTGTCACTGCCAGCAAGATCCAAGATGATGCAGAGCTGTCTGGAGTCACACCACTGGCTGTGAGGATGCAAGGATGGGGGACAGGAATGGGAAGGAGAGTGCCTGAAGGGCGGTGAATAATTAAACTTTTACCACTCAGGAACAAAGTGCTTTGTACAGCACTTTGAAAACGCTGATTGGGAATGGAAAATGGGATATATACAGAATAACTGGTCATCCTGAAGTCAGAAGATGAGTCTTAGAAAGGTCCTCACCGGAGCCTCATGTGTGTTTTGGGATTGAGCTGGAAGCAGAGCCCAGGCAGGCCTGCCAAGAGACAGGCAGCTGGAATCTCCAGGAGCCTTTCTTCCCATGGAAGATCCCAGCAGCAGCAGCAGGAGCTCAGCTGGGATTTTACATCTTATCTGTCTGCACCACCAGAGGCAACCACATATTAGACTTTTTTAACCCAGCAGGCTTGATCCAGACCTGGAAAGGGATGTGAGGGGATAAATCCCATGGAAGAGCTCTGAGGATGAAGCCAGCTGGGATGAGGATGCTCACGCTGCCCCTGCCCGACCCCATCCGACGCTGCGTGGGCTGCACGGCAGCGAAACAGAGCAATCTGCAAAGGCACCACGAGGAAATGCTCCGTCCTCCTCAGACCACAGGAGCTGCTCACTCATTGTGACCCCTCTTCAAAGCCCACTGAACTCAACAGGAGTCTTTGAAAAGGACTTGCTCATCCGTGACAATAAGATGGAAATGCGTTTCAGCGGAGAAAAAAGGGCTGGAGCATCGATCTCCAGGAGAGCAGAGCTTCCCGGACACTCCTGAGAAGTGCTCATGCCATCAGGGCTTGTTTCTCCACTTTTCCTGGCACAACTGCCTCCAACACAGCCAAAGCATCCCAGAAGATGCAAATCTGACCCCTAAGTCTGACCAGTCTGGATTCTAATCACAATAATCTCATCAAAACAGGAAATTATGGGCAATTTGGGGACCTGACTGAGAAGGAAAGGCTGTGCTGCCTGGAACACAGACTGGCTCTCTTCAGGAAATGCCAAAAAGCTGCTAGAAGGAGCTGTTTTAATTCACAGAAGCAATGTTTGGAACTCATAAGTATCCTTATTTTGTCTTTTAAACTCTCCAGTAGCATCAGATACTCCTGCAGTTTGTGCAAATCCATACCCATGCCTGACCACTTGCAGCATCCTGCCCTTTGGTAATTTGGCTTCAGCACACTCAGGATGATAAATCCAGAGTGGTTTCATGGTATATCCCCTTTGTACCTCAAACATGTCCAATAATGGGGAAACTTCTGCAAAATTTCAGCAGAATTTTAGTGTTGGTCTGTTTTCTCTGACACCACTTTTGTGGTTAGAGCTCAAATCCAGGGATTGATTCCTGTACCTGGCTCTGCCATCAACCCTTTTCATGATCCTGTGGAAACCATTTAATCTTTCCTTGCATCAATTTTCCAGCCATAAAAAGGCAGAAAACTTCTTGCCCACTGTCATTCTTTTTCCTTGCATCCTTTGCTTCCCAGAGGTGTGACTGAATTTTTATATCTGGATATCATCCACAGAGTCCACATGATTACTGGGGTTTCTCTTTCATTTAAACGTAGATAAATAATAATTAGAGAAGTGGATGCACGAGGGTGACATTCCCAGTGGGAGGTGTGGAACTAGATGATCTTGAAGATCCCTTCCAACCCAAACCATTCCCTGATTCCACAACTCACAGCTCTCTGCTCGTCTTTTGGCCACCCACAACTGTGTTTTCCCATGATTTCTGTGAATAGCTCCTCATTTTTTTTTTCTCAGCTCTGCTTCTTATTGGATTTTTTTTTTATTTTTTTTTTATCACTCCCTTCACAGTGAGCCACACCACGGAGTCAAATGCCACCGAGATCTCTTGCTGAAGTGCAATGATGTGACAAATAGAACTGACTTGCTCTCCTGTCCCTGAGCCACACAGCACTTTCAGCTGCACCACCTCAGGTCTCACAGCACGCAGAGCTGTGAAGGATTCAGGACAAAATCATCAGCAGGGGTTTTGCTGGTGGGAACCAGGCTGTGCCAAGGCCAGGGGCGGGCAGGAACCGAGCAAGGATGTGGGATCAGCCACTGGAGCAGGCGATGGCACTGATCATGGCATGCTCGGGTGGGTCAGCCCTCCCCACCTCCCTCTTCCTCATGCCAAAGGCTGATCATTTTGGGCTGATTGCAAGTGCTGGGGCTCCCATTGCTTCCCACTGGGAAGATTGCACTCTGCCCTGATACATCCAGCAATTTCAGCCCTTCCTGCTGGCATTTTTACTTCCTTATTTCTATGTCTCCTTAGCTCCCTTGCTTTTCATCCCCTCCCATCCCTCCACGTCCTGGCTGTTGGCAGGGCTATCACAAGTGCAATAAGGAATGGCAGGAAAGGTCCCTCTGAGTGATAATTGTGTGCCTTGGGTGGTGTGACAGAGGACAAAGCCCAGAGCTGAGAGTCTCAAACTACTTGACAAGAACAATAATTGTCCCGAATGGTGCTGCCTGCAGAGACTTATTGCTGTTATCAAATGAAATATCTCTGGGAAAGACAGGGAGAGAGGCAGATCTGGCTCCTGACTGGGCTGAGCACCCAGGGATCATCACTGCTGGATGTGGCATTAGTGACAGACAGGCTGCTCACACACCTGGGTGTCCTGAGAGCATCTTTAACTGAAGTTGGAGCCACTTAGAAAAGATGCTTAAGCTGGCTCTGATCCCTGGTGTAAATCCTGAGGCATCAGGAAATGCAGAGCAAAAGTTAAGGCTCTCTCCCTGATTCTATCCCATGTGAAAGCAGGAAAAATCCTGAGTTTTGCAGAAGTTTTTTCTGCAAGAGGGAAATTTGAGCTCCTGGGCGCCTCGTGTGAGATGGGAGGGGGCAGGAAAACAAGGCAGGGCTGATTGCTTAGTCCAGCATGCAGCACCAACAGGAGGATCTGCTGGCAGGACAGCATCCCTTCAGGGACACACCACCACAGCACATCCTCCCACCCTCCCCTGGACCTTCTCCAAGCCTGCAATGCAGGTGCTGCTTTCAGTGCCTCCTCCAGCAACTGTGCTGAGTAAAAAAGCTCTGCCAGAGGGGGTTGGTTCGATTTGCAAACAGGCTCAGACAGCTCTTTCCAAAGCCAGGTGACCCCCGGAGCAGAGGCTCATTGTGTTGCATCAGCTCCTGCCTGAGTGCTAATTCTGGCAGGGAAGGAAATAATCATGATGGAGACAGATCTCCAGCACTCCTTCCCTATTGTCTGTGTCCTCTGCCACCTGCTCCACCAGCCAGGGCTTCTCTGCTGCCTTTTTGTATCTCTCTGAATGCTGCTTTCTTTTGTCTGTCTCTCCCTTCCACATCTCTTTCTCTCAGTGTCTGGCAAATTCCAAGCAACAATGGAATAACATTTCTCAGGGGAAAAAATAAAAAGAAAGAAAGAAGAAAGACCTCAAATCAGAGTCAAAGCTCCTTCAAAAGGAAGGGGAAGAAAAGGGGTGGAAAGGAAAGACAAGAGAAGGAAAGGGGAGGAAAGGAAAGACAAGGGAAGCAAAAATAAGGAAAAAGGAGGAAAGCGAGGGAAAGGGGAGGGCAGATGGAGAGAAGAGGCAGAAACAGGATAGAAAAGAGTTGATTTTATTCCCAAATGAGCCTCTCTCCCTGGAGAAGAAAGAGATCCACCTGGGCCACCACCAAACCTAGGACAAGATCCTGCAGACAGCACTCAGCACTGAGGTCATGGAGTGCCTTGGCAGCAGCCTGAGGCTCAGCCCTGCCACCCTCTGCAGCTCTGGCAGAGCCTTGAGTGTTCTGGCTTAGGAAAACAGACATTAAAGTCAAAATGGTGCAGTCACAGCACTCAGGCATCCTATGAGCAAATCCATCTGGGGACTCATCAAACCCCACTTCTCCGGTCCCAGGCACTGGCAATTTCTTGGAGCATGCAGGTAGTGTGGGAATAATCACCATTACCTGTCAAAACCAGTCTTTTATTGGGTTCTGCAATGTGGGATGCTGAGGCTGGCTGAAGTTACTTTCCTGCTCAGCCCAACTATGCTTAAGTAATCCTTAAATGAGATAATTCATTGGAATGCCTACATGTGCCAGAGAATTTGTGACTCTAAAGGGTCATTAAAGGTCTGTTTTGCCTGCTAAGACTCTTTGGACAGATATAATCTCTGCCCAGGACCATGCAATTCTCCCCTAGCTTCCACCATTTTAAAATAATACTTTGAAGAAAATGCACATACCTCCTTAACTTCCCAGTCTGTCCATTTCTAACCTGAAACCTGAATGCTCACAGGCCATTAACCAGTAATGAAAATCAGGGAGAGATGGGAGGGAGGGAGACAAAAGAACAAATAAGAGAGCATCGGTTGGGAAGTTGCTTGTTTGCAACAGATGTAAAATGTGTGAACTGCCTGCAGCCTTCAGCCCTGCTTAATGCAGCAGAATATGTTGTGACAAGCACTGCCCAGCAGTGGAGTGGCAGAGCTGCAGTGAAATGGCTAAAGCCTGTAATTAGCTCTTTGACTAATAAATCATCTCACAGCAGCAGCAATGGAAAGGACTCAATGCATATCCTGGAGACATGGATCTGTGGAGAAACCTCTGGAGAAGCAGAGGCATCCATGGAACGTGGGCTCAGCTCCTGGCTGCTGGCAGGTGACTGGGTTTGTCCCCAAAAGTGGCATTGCTGTGGTGACAGCCCTGCCATGACTCACACAGGCTCCTTGCAAGGAGAATCACAGGTCCTGCACTTCGGGTGGGGAAGTGGAGGTGGGCAGAGACAGAGGGACTGCTCAAAGGGCATGTGAGGGCTGCAGGAAGGTTTGACTCAGCCTAATCCCATCCATCCCTGGATGGGATTTGGTGCAGCCTGGTCCAGTGCAAAGTGTCCCTGCCCACGCAAGGGGTTGGAACTGGATGATCTTCAAGGTTCATTTTAACACAACCATTCTGGGATTCTGTGTTCTCACCTTTTTCTGACCCATTTCATGCTGGCACGTGTCAGACGGTTTAGATGGGGTTTTATCATCAAATGCCCCCAAAATAACCTTCACTCTCACGTTGACATCAACATCTGTCCCACTGGAAGCCCTTTTTGTGGGAATATGAGCAGGTTAAGCTGATATTACTGCCTGTGGCTCCAGCCCAGCCTGAGGATGGGATCCAGGGGCAGAAGCAACAACTGAGCGGTGGCACCAGCCAGCCCAAGGAGAAAAAAGGGCAGTTTCAAGCTACCAGCCAACCTTTTCCCACCTGTGTTTGGAACCACAGAATCATGAAAGCTGGAAAAGGCCTCCAAGACCATCAAATCCAGCCTTTGACTGAATACCCCTGTGCCCACTAGACCATATGGTGAAGTCTACACCTCGTTTGAACTCTACCAGGGATGGTGACTCCACCCCTGCTTTAATCCTATTTCAATGTTTAACCACTCTTCCAGTGAAGACATTTTTCTTAATATCCAACCTCCCCTGGCACAACTTGAGACCATTTCCCCTGGGAGAAAAGCCAGACCCCAACCTCACCACAACCTCCAGGTGCTTCTAGAGAGCAATAAAGTCTCCCTTGAGCCTTCTTTCTCCAGAGTAAACAACTCCAGCACCCTCAATCAGGTAAGAAAGGCTGTGACAGGACCCCAGAGCCCCTGGGGACAGTGCTGTGGGCACGTGTGTCCCTCTGCAGCTCACCGAGGTGTTCTGGCACTGCACGCTGGAGCTGTTGAACCTCAAGGCCGGCACCCTCTGCTCGCTGCCCTGGATGTTCAGGATGCACTCGTAGCCACGCTGGCCCGACTGGGGCTGGGGCAGGTTCTTGGCCTTCAGAGTGATGGGTTTGATCACCTCCACGGGCACCAGGATCTTCTCGGCCTGCAGCAGCTGGGGGCAGTCCTGGGGAGAGAGCAGACGAGTCACCAAGTCAGCACACGGGTTTCCCAGCCTCAGGAAAAGTCCTGTGGTGTCGGAACCCAGGACATCCCTCTGGGTGCCCTGGATGGCTCAAAATCCTGGCAGGGGCCTCGGAGACCCTGGCAGGAAGCCAAAGACACTTGGGATTTTGATCTCAACCCACGGAGCAAATTACCAACTTTATATGAAGAATTACAAGTCACAAAAGTTTAAGTAGCATAACAGTAGTTGTCACAGGGTGAAAGGTGGAATTTTGAAGAATTTTACTATAGGGGACAAGATGGAGGAATTTGGGCGTTGTCCTGTCCTTCTTCCTTCTTCTTCCTAGCCTCCATCTTCTAAGTGATGTTAGCATATTTGGATTGGTTCAGAGTAAAAGTACACAGTCTAACATAGATGATAGGTATTGGAAAATAACTGTAAATAAAGTCCACTTAGTTTTTAGTATAAAGAGATAGCACTGCCTCAGGGCAGTGCAGTGTGCCTTGGACTGACCTGCTGAACAGACCTCGGCAGGCCAGACAGAAAATGTTTAAGTAAGAAATAATAAACAACTTTGAGAACACGAGCTGAAGACTTCTGACTCCTTCTTTGACAGCTGGGTTGGGGAAAAGAGACTTTAAATACATCTCAGGGTCACCTTGACCAGAGGAGATCCCGAGACTGTGCTGCTTCCCAACCTTCTCAATTTGCCTGATTACAAAGCCTTTGCAGCTCCCTGGGCCTTGGTTTATTACAGAGTTATTCAAGCCTGGGAAGGCTCAGATAAACAGGTGAGGAAGGATTGCTTTCACCATCCTTTCCTACCTCCCTGGCTTATTTCAGCCTCCAGGACCCAGGGAAGCCACCTCTGGTGCTTTTTCATACCTGCTCTGTTTATTCAGGTAATGGAAAAGCAATCATGTTCTCTCCACAGACTTAACCCAGTCACAATGCCATGATGAAAGTGAATAAAGCAAAAATCTGAGCACAATTCCTGAGTTCCAAACAGCCAACACACCACTGTACAAAAGGCACAGCTCCAGCAAGACCTGTTGGAACCTATGGAGTCATGGTTGTTAAAAAGAGAATTTATTTTGGCTCAGAAGAGGAGAAAATATTCATTACACAGATCTAGACCCAGCTGCCAAGAAATAACTGTCACAAAAAGCATGGAAACCCGTTGGAAAAGCTTTCCACTAGTTCACAAAAGGAGAAATGCCAAGTGGGTGCTGCTAATGTGGTGCCCTCACACATGTGAACTCTGGGCACCCAAAGCTGCCTAGCAGGTGGCTGCATTTAAAGTTTCATTAATTAGCACAGCTTAATTAGTTAGAGTGGCCATGCTCTGCTTCTTCATAGCACAGTCAGACAGCTGCAAGATGTCCCTTTCATGGATTCTGGGGCCATGTCAGCTCTTTAGGAAATTACTGCAGCCTTTTCCTGTCCTGCCCAAAGATAAAGCCAAGTCCAGTTGTTTCCAGCAGAGACAGAGAAATGTAGGTGAGGGCAGGAGGAAAATGACTGATTCAGGGCAGAAAAGTAGGGAAAGGGACTGAAGGGTTAAAAAGTGGAATTTATGGCTCATTGAGAGCCTGGGATCTTGTTAGAGCAGATGGTGGGAGCATCTTACTGAAGCAAGTAGCTGAGGGAGATAAAGAAATGGATCAGATGTGCAACATCTGTAGTTTCACCAACAGGGACAGAATTGTTACAAGAGCCAGCACTCGTCACATGGAGGATGTGAGCTCATCCCTGGCCAGGGGCAGGCAGAAAACCCAGTAAGCACCCAACACACCCCTGCAGTGAAGTGCAGAACCATCCCCAGTCCCAAAGAGGATCTGAGGGTCTGTCCTAAGGGGCTGCCAGACTGAGGAGCCTGAGAGATGAGTTTCCATCTGCACTCACAGGGTGATCACTTAAGGGGCTGCACTTACAGCCCTTTGCTGCTCATGGTGGAAGTAATTGAGAGCCACTGATGGGCTTCAACTGGCCTTGCCCAGGCTGGCACCAGAACCAGGCCAGCAAAGCACAGCCACTGGAGCTGGGTGGAGCTGAACCACCTCGGATCCAGTGGCTCTTTGCCTGAGATAATCTGGCACAAGGCCTGGCTTGATGTGTGCTGCCAAGGCTTAACAGCCCATCCCATAAACCTGGCTGGAAGGAGGAAGGGTTGGAGGTGGAAAACCCATGGGGTACTGCAATGCAGGGATGAGCTTTATCACCGCCATCCTCTGCACTCTTGGGCTGGAGGATTGAGGAGCTACACCCTGTTCCAGCCCTCTCTGTCCTTGCTGCTTTCTGTTCTGTGATGGAACCTCTCCAGGGAGCTCCTAATGCTGAAACACAATGGGCAAAGGGTCACTGAAGCATTCTTATTGATAAAAGAGCAAGGTTTAACCATCTGGAAAGTCTTCCCAAGCTTAGGTTCAATGGTTCTACCACACCATGGCACACCAGCATTAAGGCTCCCTGCAGCACAAAAAAGTGAGGCATAATCTATAATCCTGGCTGATTTAAGACCAATAAAAACCCCAGAGGGCAGAAGAAGGAGGTGATCCAGGCTATATTAAGGAGTTTTCAGTACTGATCACACCAGCAGATGCAAACACCATTTGGGACCTTATGTCTTCAACAGCCCTGACCCTTCCCCATCACCTGCACAAGTCCTGGGGCTCCTGCCTCAGCTCCCTCTCTTTCTCTTGGCACCAGGAAAGACATTGGCAGCAGCCTCTCTTTGGCTTTTTTTTCCTCCCCAGCTCCAGGAGCTGAGAGAGAGATGCTCTGGCAGAGGGAATGAGTGGGGCAGGAGGGTGGGGAAGCCCTATCTGCCGCCGAGCAGGCGTTTCCCAGGAGCGGGCATTTCACTTGATGTGTGTCACAGAGAAAAGCCTCTGATGGGGGCTGTGGGATGGAGGCTGGAGATAGTCCTCTCTGCTACCTGCAGGCCAATCCCAGCTCTTCAGCCTGGTCTTTCTTGTGTGGCTTTATCCTGTCCCCCTCCACCACTGGTGCTGTAACCTTTCCGATAACACTTGTTTCAAGTTCATTAACAAGCCGTGATTGAGGCAGCCCCAAAACAGGGTTCGTTTGCATATAAAAAGCTTTGCAGTGCTGTGAGGAAGTTCATTATAGATAATTGAAGAGGCAAGCGCCATAAAGAGGAAATCCTCCCAATGTGGCTTTATCTGATTGACCTAATGTTCTTTCTAATTGAAATGGGGAGGGGAAAAGGCAATTTCATTGGGTGATGTACTGCATAAAACCTCAGAGCTTGGACCAGGCTCTGGGTTCAGATTCAAACACAGAACTCATTTTGCAGCCTGTGTCAAGCTTTGGGTGGTTTGTATTTTTAAGGGTAAAACAGGCCAGGTTTGTATTTTTGAGGGTAAAACATCAAGCTGGCCAGAGCAGACCCAAGCAGAAGGCTTTGTAAAAAGGAGTTATTTTGGACATTTTGCACTGGAGACACTTTCTCTTCACCCTTCTCCTTTGCTATGAACATCACCTAGGTTGGAAAAACACAGTTTTCATAGGATGCAGAGAAATAAACTCATAGACTGCCAACAACTGCACCAAGGATGGGCACAATCCCATCCCTTTTTTCCTTTGATATATAATAAATTAAATCTTTTGCCTGACTCTAAGGGGAGCTGGCAATCCAGAGAATCACTGTTGATTCATTTTATGTGTGTAGCTCCATTCCAGTTCTTGAATGCTTTCAAATGAGTCAGTCCATTTAAAATAATATCCTCCACCCTTGCCAATTACTGGTATCAGCAGCGATGCACACCTCACATCACCAAAATTTTGCCAATTACCAAGTCAGAGAGCTTTTGCAGTGAAACCACTGCACGAAATGAGCTGTACTCATTGGGTCGATGGTAGTTTAATTTTCTATATTTATAACTCCTCATAGAGCGCCTGCAAATGTGTTTTGTTGTAGCTTGCAGGAATAATAAAGTCTCAGAAATATGAGGACCTTTTCTCTCACATGTGTGTTATGGCCTTCATCAGAGCTGAGCCCGAGCTGGTCTCCAGTGAGAGCCATCGTGAGGATGCTGCTAAAGAGGATGAGGAGGCCTCTCTGAGGCCGTGTGGTCATAGTCCTGAACTAATTAGTTTGGTTTATTTATGGTTCTTCATACATCCAGAGCTATGATTTCATGGAGGTTTCACTGTGTTGTTTCCCAGTATAAGCTGGAGACTGACAAAATACCCCGAGTTCCTCTCCTAGGAAAAGGCATGTCGGGATGTCTCACAGCCTTGTGATACTGCACAGGTTTTCTCCCAACTTATTTTGCACAGTTTCGCTCTCTGATAGTGTTTTTGGCCAGGATTATGATCCAAAGGATCATCAAAGTGTTTTCCAGTTTTCAGTAGACAAGGAGCTTTATCTACCTTGGGTGACAGGCATTCCACATGGGAACAGGGAACACATCCATGGAGGTTTAACACAATGAACCCCCCAGCTACTAACAGCCCCCACCTTTTACTGGTTCACATCCCCACTTGTACATCTCTTGTCAGCCAGAGCATGCAGGGGAAGGAACCTTTCCAGGTTTTCCTTCATACTCCTCCCTCATGATCCCTGGCACCACTGGCTGGATCTCCACTTTCTGTGGAAGGAAACTAAAGCTCACCTAATGCTGAGGGCCCTGGGGGAACCACTGCCCAGATAAACTCAACCCTTGGCAATGGGCTTTCACCCTTCCTTTCCCAGAAGAGTAGGAGTCACCTCCATTCAGGAACAGACCATTAATTCCTTCATTGCTCCTTCATTACTTCATTCCAGCGCTAATTCCATCACTACTCAAAGCATCCAGTTTCTCTTTTTTTCTGCCACTAAAATCCATTTCTTTATCCTCAACTTTACAGGTTTTTTTTTTTTTTAACTTTCCTTTCAATATCCCCCACCCAGCAACCATCTTTGCACCTTATCTAAGGCATCTTGCCTGAAAAATAAATGACCACACAGTGAATCTAAGCGGTGACCAAGATTG